CCTTGCAATACTTTTCGAACATCTGTAAATGTGTATGTATGATGAACTACGGTTCCATACTCATAAAACATATGGCACACAAAGGCACCGACATAACATGACATGCATACGTAAAGGCAGATAGAAAACAAATTTTAGACGAGAATTTTACGTATGAAATTGTATGAAATTCTGGATAAGATGCAGTGTAAATAAAACAGCTGTTCCGACTAATTTAGATGATTGACATTTAAAATTTTCTTATTTGTTTTAAACAAAGATATTTTATGTATCCATTTGTTCAATAAATGTATTTCATTTTCAGTTGCTTAATAGATTCGGTAAATTTTAATATTCAGTTATTCAAATTTTTATTGTTACTTTTTATATTTAATATATATATATATATATATATATATATGTTCGCATTATGTTAACTTCTTATTGTGATAATTTACTAAATATTAATTTTATTATATATATTAAAAATTATTATAAAGTTTTAACTAGAGTTATATTGAAATATACATATATATCCAAAGACATTTAAATTGAAGAAAATTATTAATTTTATATTCTTAAAATTCGAATAATAGAAAATTACCTACACTAAAACTAAAACTCTTTACTTCAATAAACAGTTTTGTCAGTTCAATTTCAAAATTATTTAAAAATAAAAATATTGATAAACATATGAAAAAATGTATACATTAACATGTGTATAAAAAATATTTCGTAAAATTAAATATTCTACTAAATTGACTAATTGCATAAATTATTTTATATTGGATAATTACCTAATAATTATATTGGATAAATGTACGTATGCATATATGCATATAATTAAAAACGTGCGTATGTGTGTCTGGTTATAAAATTACATCTATTTAAATACGCGATTCTTTAAAGAATATTTTTTCACAGCCTACGAATAAAGGCCAATCGATTCTCATCTACTATTACCACTGTTTCTACACCACCGAGTGTATTCTTCTATAGTACAAACTTCTGACAATTATTATCCACATAATATATCCAAATCGATTACATCAGAATACATTTAAAAAACGCTTATTATTATGTGCTATCATTAAACAATATTTATTATTTTTATAACTTTATATGATTAATATTTATTGCCCTTAATTTGAAATATTCTAAAAAATGAAATTACTATTCAATTATATAATTTAATTAAGAATATAAAAAAAAAATTATATACAATTATAAATACAGATTAGTTTAACCTAACAAAATGCTAAAATCTTCGTAATTTCATCAGTAAAGTGTTTATTTCTACTCATCTGATTGAACAATTTTGAATAATTGAAAAATTTTGTGTAAAATTATAAATAAACAATCGTCTCCTTTATACAAGGAGAGTGTGTACAAGATACTATTCTACTGTTATATATAAACAAATATAAAGTAATATAAAACATATAAGTGTATATGTTTACAACATTGATAAAGTTTTGTATAAAAATTGAATAACTTGTTACATAAATTGAATATTTTGTATAAAAATTGAAACTGCTTCAGTATAGTAAATAGATAAAAATAGAAAAATATAATTATATTATTTTAAAAGGTACTATTTAGTATTGCGATGAAATAAAATGGAAATTGTATTTTATCATTAATTGTGTTTTCTTATACTTGCAAAAAATTTATTTAATTTAATTAGAACACATTTTTCATTTTTTATTATATATTATTATATATCAGTGATTACAATGATTATTCTTGTGATAGATACATTTAATATTTTAATAAACATAAATATCTTTGTTTAATTAAAATATTTTGTTTTTTAGTTGATATTTAATTGAAGAATTATTATTCTTTATTATATTAAGAATAGTAGTACAAAGGGATATTAATATTGAATTTATTTTTATTGTTTCAAACTAATTTATTTAATAATAAAATACAGACCTACATAGACATCTTTTAAATAAACGGAAAGATTAAAATATTACAATATTAAAATAAACATATAAATATTTAGAAACCAAAAAAATTATGGTAAAATTATGTATATGATTATAATTATAACTATCATTAGTAATCTATCCACCACCAAATGTAATTACTAAGAACAAATATACATAATTTGTAGTCAATGACTGAAATACTACAGAAATTTTTGTAAGAATCGTATATATTTCACTAATGCTTTTATAGATCTCTGTCATAAATAATTCATATTTTTAATAAGCTCAACATTATAAAAATTATTTATATTTTATATAAATAAAATTACTTCAAAAATACTTCCAATTGTGAAACTAGTTTAATTATATATTTATATGTAATAACATAACTTTCCTATTATAGTAAAAAGTAAAAAAAGTAAAAAAAAAAAGTATATTTCAATTAAAAATTTTTTATGTTAATCAAGGAACCATCTAATTTTTTATAAAAACATGACATCTGTAACATACCAATCATTCTATATAAAGTATTTATGTCCTTCAAAAGTATTTCAGATTATCGATTTTATCGCAAAATTATTTGTTTTGAAACAATAGTCAATTGTATGCTACAATGTTTAATTAATACTTTTTATTCGTGATGAAAATACTGAGTTCATAGCCTAATCGTGCTTTTGATAAAAGTTAGCAAAAAAACTATTGAATTAATGAAATATTTATTCAATTTAAAACCTAAATTAAAATAACTTTAATAATAAGATTTTTAACCTATATATTAATTACCATTTATGCAAAAAAGGATAACAAGGTTTATTTCGGAGCTAATAGTATCTTTAATACACTGAAAATTAAATTATGTATTAAAATTGAAAATCATATAAAATATATTACACAATATAAGTATGATAAATATTTTTCCCAATATTATATTATATTATATCTTAGTGTGCTCCAAAGCGTGATATTTTATAAGTACCATTTAAAAAAATATAATAACCAATAATAAATTAAATTTATCCATATCCTCTTTAAAAAGTACAATTATCTATTCATAAATTAGGTGATCTTTCTTTGCAAACGCACATTTTTCATTACAAACATCCAATTGAATATTTTGCCTTCTCTTTCACCTATTAAATCAGCAAATACCCCTTCGAATATTTACGTCATTCTCTATTGAGTTCCGTTTCAAATTATTTTGGCGTCCTTGTATCTATGTTCTACTTTTGCGATTATTGTCGTGGCCAATGAGCCAACTATGTTACATCAAAAGATGCAATTTTATTAAACAACATTTACAATATGAAAGTAAATGTCTCTTAACTCTTAATTGTAAATAAGTTTTTATTAAATTTGTCAAATGTTATTATTAATAAATTATAAAATAACATCAATAATTAATGTCGAATTCAAAACATAGTTTAGATTAAATTAACCCTTTTTATTTAAAAAAATATCCCTATAAGATCATATAATATATCATATATATAACATTGCATTTAACATAACTTATTTATATATTGAAATAATGTAAATGCAATATTAAAAAATTCCCTTTTAATTATTTTATAATTTTTATTAATAAACTACAATACAATATAAACTGTAATATTTTTTTCGCATATAAATATACAACAGACTACAAAATTATTTAGAGATAATACATTTTATATAATTTTAGCCATACAAGATATAATCATTTATAGTTATTGCCTCAAGTACTCTATGTCATTGAGCAAGTCGGACATACTCCACATTTATTAATCATTTATTCTACATACAACCATTAATGTATACTAACACGAAGTAGAAAAGTATAATGATATTATAAATATAATACATAAGAAGAATAAATCGTATGAAGAGCGATATGTTTTATTTTTTATTATTTATTACCTAAATGCAGAATAGCTCCCTTTTTATTTTAAAATGTTATTGGTTTTTATTATATGCATGGCATCTTATTTTCTGAGAACTTATCAAACTTAAACTTGCACTACATTGATTTTATATGTTTCTGTTTTTCTACTCTTAATCTATAGTAAAAATACATCTTATTAATATATAAAGTACAAATTATAATTACGCCATATATATACTATTATAAAATGCTTATCCAATATTTATCATTATCCACTGGTAGAATATTATAACTGTTCATAAATTAATTTAATTAATTTTTAGTTTTTTAAATTAATTCTTAGTGCAAAAATTATATTGTATTATAAATTATTAAAAAATATGAACTGTTTTTTATACGACTTTTATAACGCCAATATTTTTCATATATACGACTTATTGAAAATTAATTAGAAAGGTATTATTAAAGACATTATTATCAATACTTAATGTTATAGTAAGAATTTGTGCTATAATTGAATATATTTTCTCATTAAAATTTAACAAATAAATAATTTTTCCTTTCTTATTCTTATACTGACTTTTTAAGAAGCATCAATCAATTCATCGAATTAATTAAAATGTTAGAAACAGATTAATAACAATACTGAAATAAAGATATAAGATCTCACAAGAAAAGAGTTATAATTATCTACTTCTTAATTGTAAAGGGAAAAAATTTCTTTTTACAAAAAAATAATATTTCACTTTAAGATCCACAGAATATTTATATAATATTGTTGAAAACTTTGTGAGTGCTGTATGAATATTAGTATCATAAATATTGTTATAATATTATTAATGATATTGGCGGTGAATTGTCAAATATTCGTTTAATGAGTAATCTTTTGGGAAAGACGTGGTCTGAATGTTTGCATCCTCCCAACATTTCCTAGCTTATTCTGTGAGTCTTTAATATTAGAACATTTAAATAATATTATTGTTCTATCTATCGAATGCTTTCCTACGTACCGAGGACATTGTGCTCTCACTGATCATAGCAGAAAGAGGTGACTGCTTTGGTCAGGTGATTATTTTCATTTTCATTGCATATTGAAATAAAAGCTTTATTAAATGGCATAATCGATTTTCATTTGGCAAAATTTTAAATTTTCTTTAATAGTTCTTCTAACAATAAATTTTCGTTATTATATTTCTATTAAAAAAATATTTCTAATATTGTAGGTCATGTGGAAGAAATGGTTGTGGATCAAATACTAGTGTATGGACAAGAACATTATCACCAAATCATCTAATGGTGTACAAAGACATTCAGCAACGCGACATTCACGAATTCCAGGGTGATGTTATACCTATCAACATGGTCAAGGGTATCGGCCACCTACGAGATCCCCGCCTCAACAAGGTTCTATAACGCGATAATTAAGTAAATAAACCGAGCTCTGCCCAATTAATATCATCAAAAATTGAAGACAGAACAAGAAACAGACAGAGAGAGAGAGAGAGAGAGAGAGAGAGAGAGAGAGAGAGAATGAGAAAGTGAGGGAGAGAAGGGGGAGAGAAAAAAGAGAGAAAGAAACAGAGACTGCATCCAGATATTTGTCTCCCAGGGAAAAAGAGAGAGAAATAGGGAATGAAAGCAAGCAAGCAAATGAGAATGAAAATGCTTTTAAAAGAAAAAATTGCAATATTTTATTCAATAAATTTTATTGATTTTATAAAACAAAAATACCATTTGTAATATTAAAATGACATTTATTTTTAAATTATAATGGAAACAAGAATAGAGTATAACATTTATGTATTTCTTTTTCTCTATAATTAAAGTTAAAAATTTTAATATATAATGTTTATTATTCATAATCAAAATTTAAATAAAACTACCAATAATTATAAATTAGTAATAATTCCCAGTGTGTTGATTATTTTGATTCATTTTTAAAATTAACAGTCGAAATTAATTGAAAGAAATTCAATAATCTTTAAATTTTGAAAACTTTTATAGTAAACTATTTATTAAATATGAAATTACTTGATAATATTTTTAATCAATTATTTTTTTTTTTAATTAACTATGTAAATAACTATTTAACTAAAAATATTGGTCTACATTTTTCGTCAATTTTTAAAAATAATATTATTATTTTTTTTTAAAATAATTATTACAAAATGGCAAAAGGGAAAATTTTCCAAAGCGTTATTTGAAATTACTAAGTAACAAGTAAAAATTATCTTGTGTATTAAATTCCAGTAGCTTAATTTAACTGCTAGAATCTTTTAATAATTAATTCTTTTTATATTGAAACAAAAACCAAATAATATTCTCAAAAAAATTAAATTAAATTTCCATTATATATCAATTAAAACATATTATTTAAAATTATAAATTCTTCTGACAATTTCATACAAAATAATCAAAATCTCTACCACCCACTCTAGAAATAAACTTTCTCAAAATCTAAACGTTAATATATACATTAATATATTATATAGTATATTTATGTTATATGATATATATATATATATATATATATATGTATTCATTTTAAAATAAAAATATGTGTTTCATATAAAAAACTTAATTAATGTATATATTAATCTGTGGTTATAACGGTATAATATCAATGCTCATAAATGTATATTTTTATTACCACTATAAACATTAAATATTAAAAAATTTTATCTTTTTATATTATTCGTAATTAGCAATAGATTTTAATATGAAGTTGATATTCAAAAATCATCTGTCATATTAATAATGCATGAAAAAACTGAATTTTTTATAAAGATAAAATAATTAAAACAGTTTTTGCTATTCATTATTATGAATCTATAAATATATTGAAATCTTTTTAACATAACTTTGTTTAGATTTGTAAAAAAGTTTGTTTATTTTGATTTTTCATCATCTCAATAGTTTAAATTATAAGCGTTTATAAGAATATATAACAATACTTTTTATAAAATCTAAATTTAATTACAAAGCAAAGCATCCGATATACAGAAATAGCATAAGGTTATTAGTTAATTAAATTATAACACTGTTTTTTTTTTAAATAAGTTGAATACCAGTTATAATTTGTGAAAAATTCAAAGATAAATTAATTGACTGTTTTTGAAATATTGAATTAAGTAATGATGTAATAGAACTTTATGCTGTACTTCACAATTGCATATAACATTTGTTATATAAGTGAATTTAAAAAAAAAAAAAAAAAACAGTAATTCAACATAATTCTATTAAATAATAGTAATTTTGTAAGAAATTCATAATTAATAAGCTAGTATATATGTATTTATTTAGTAATAATATCAATAAGAAAATGTATTTAAATATTTTAAAGGGACTAGCCTTTACGCTAGAAGAAAGAATGGCACTGGGAATCCATGGTCTCCAACCACCAAGATTTAAAACACAAGAAGAACAACTTGCTCTATGTAAGGCTTCCGTATTAAAGTATACAGAAGATTTAAATCGTTATCTATATCTTGTTGAACTTCAGGTAAATGAATTATAGATAAATATTTGTTAAATAAAAATATTACAAAAAAATTATAGCTATAATTTTATTATGATTGTATTAAAAATCGAGAAAAGAATATAGATAGACTGCTGTTTTACTCTTGTATTTATTACATTTATCTACAAAAATATTAATTTCATTAATTTAATAAGTAAATTTAATAGAATTTTTTTCTAAATAATTTTTTTAATCATAAGCTATAGAAAATTATCATAAATTGATGGAAATGTAAAATAATTAAATTTTTCTAAATAATCTTAGTGCTTATTATATTAAATTAAAATATTTTTATTGTAAATAATATGAAGTAACTACAATTTTTTTTAGGAACGAAATGAACGATTATTCTTTAGATTACTAAAAGAAAACATTGAACAAATGATGCCCATCGTGTATACTCCAACTGTAGGTCTCGCCTGCCAAAAATTCGGTGTAATATATCGAAGACCGCGTGGATTGTTCATAACGATTTATGACAAAGGTCATATTTATGACATTCTTAATAATTGGTATGTAATATTTTACATATATTATACTAACATGAAACTGGTGAAAAATTTGAAATCGTCAATAATTATTGTAATATTTGTCTTATTACTATTAATCAATTTGTATTTATAAGTATAAATTCTAACTTAAACTAATAATATTAATTTACTGTTAAATTAAATTAATTATCAATAAAAAGGTTTAAAAATTTTTAAATTTAAATAATTATTATTTTACAAAATCACTGTCATTTTAAAATATTGTTTTTATAAAATTTTATGAATTTGTAAATTCGCGAGAGTTTTTTTTTATTATATCATTATACAATGTTATATGATCTAAACTTTGATTCGATTAATAAACATTTTTAACATTGAAAGATAAGTATTATCTAATATATGGATAAAGTTCTTTTATATTCGTTAATAATATTCTAGTTTTGTTCAATGCATTTAAACGCATACACAGACACTATCTGTACTGTATACTTATATGATTAAAAAAAAAAAAAAAAAAAAAAAAAACGGCAAAAAAAAAAAACTAATATTCTAGTTTTGTTCAATGCATTTAAACGCATACACAGACACTATCTGTACTGTATACTTATATGATTAAAAAAAAAAAAAAAAAAAAAAAAAACGGCAAATCCATATACGCAAATATACGTGATTACACTTTCGTCCACACATAAATTTTGACGTGTATCAATATTTCTACATAAATCAATATATCTTCATAAATTCAAGTATACTTATCTAAAAAAAATTTCTTTATAGTATTCATTTAGTTTTCATATAGTAATAGTATCCATTTCAATAATATACGAAAATATAATTATAATAGTAAATTGTTTAATGTAATTAAATTATAAGACTTTTAATTAATAAGCTATACTTTTAATTAATAAATTATAAGTTATGTAAATGTAATGGCGATAGTTCAGACTCTATTAGTCTTAACAATCGTTATACAAAGTATTTTGATGTCATTGAAATACTAACAAAATTTAGTGTTTCGCCTAAATTTAATCGAGATCATAGATAAATATAATTTGATATGATTATGATAGAATTAAATAGGAATCATCTTCGGTAATAATATAAAAATATATATTGTATGAAAATCTCGCTTTTAATCCCGTAATTATTGAAATAGGCCAGAGCAAGCGGTACGAGCCATTTGCGTAACTGACGGTGAACGCATTCTCGGACTCGGTGACCTCGGCGCCTGCGGAATGGGCATACCCGTGGGAAAACTTGCTCTGTATACAGCTCTAGCAGGCATCAAACCTCACCAGTGCCTACCAATCACCATCGATGTGGGTACAAATAACGAGCAGCTGCGCAACGATCCGCACTACATTGGCCTGAACAAGCCCCGCACCGTTGGTGCCGAGTACGACGAACTACTCGATGAATTCATGTCCGCATGCGTTAAGAAATATGGTCAAAACGTCCTAATACAGTTCGAGGACTTTGGCAATCATAATGCTTTTCGGTTTCTGGATAAATATAGGAACAAGTACTGCACTTTCAACGACGACATACAAGGTACTGCCGCTGTAGCGGTCGCTGGTATACTCGCCTCCCAAAGGATCACCCAAAAGCCTATGAAAGACAATAAATTCGTCTTTCTCGGAGCAGGAGAAGTAAGTACGCGTTTTTTTTTCTCGACTTATACACGTTTATTATAAAAGGAACGCATTGCAAATGAGAATAAAATGAATTTCTATATTTATCACTTTTATATGAAATCTCGAGTATTGATTCAATAATTATGATGACAATAATTAGATAGTCGCAAATTTCAATTTCTTTTCATCCTAATTTGTATAATCTTTGTTATTTAAGTATCGCCTAATATTGTACAAAATTTATCGCATAATTTAAAATTACTCAATTCAATGAAATTCGAATCATCTCTTGCAACTTTTCAAATTTAATCGTTAGAATTCATCGATGCTTTTATTCCAATTTTCTATGTATCATACATGAGCGTATATACATATACAACTGGAAAACATTTTTTTTTTATTTTATTTTTCAAAAATCAAATTTGTTGTATAATACAAATGCTTAACAGCTTTTCTTTTCAAATATCTTGCCTTTCATATTATAAAATCAAGAAATTATAATTTATATTTAAATGCATAAGGTGAACGTTTTTTTTTACAACGGTCTTAGGCAGCAATCGGAATCGCTGATCTGTGCGTTAAAGCTCTGGAAGTTAGCGGATGTTCCAAAGAAGAAGCACGCAATAATATTTGGATGTTAGACATTGACGGTCTACTGACCACCACTCGTAAAGTAGGTGATTTGGATGGGCATAAGAAATTTTACGCCAAGAATCACGAACCCATGCAGAAACTTATTGATGTTGTTAGAGAAGTCAAACCTTCAATCCTCATTGGTAATTAACACTTATGTAAAATATGAAATCAATATTTCAAGCTTAAAAATAAAACCATTTCAAACATCAATATTAACATAATTTTATAGAAATAAAATTAAAAAAATTTAAATAAGATTTACAAATGAATTAGTTCAAGTAAATAAAAAAGAAACTTATATAAAAAACATACGTATTAGAATGTACTTACATCAGCTTCTTATTCTGATTTCCAATTATTAATTATAAAATTTTATTAATATAAAAATGAGTGCATTAAACAATTCGAATTAGACTACCTATACAAACGTTACTTTATTAATACTTATATATATATATTAGATTATAAAATTGTTTAATATTATGAACACTGCAATAAATCAATAATGTTAAAAATTAAAATTTATATGAAAAAATGTCTTTAATAATATATATAATTGTTTATCAAATAATAAAAGTATAATAATATGTTAATTAATGTCAATTTTATCCTTAATAAATTAATGATAAAATCAGCTTTAATGATATAATATTTCAATTATTACTTTATAAACTTTAATTGATTTAATCATTTTTAAATGCATCATCAACATCTATTGAAGTAACTTTATTTATATAGGCGCTTCAGCAGCAGCTAACACATTCACCCCGGAGGTTTTGCAAGAGATGGCTAAAAATAATGAAAGGCCATTAATCTTCGCACTGAGTAATCCAACAAGTAAAGCAGAATGCACTGCACAAGCAGCGTATGAACACACGCAGGTAATTGATTAAAAACTATTATGGCCATAAATGTAGACCTTACCTTAAAATAAAAAATGAAATTATATAATTAAGAATTTATTTGAGAGTACAAAGATATTTAAATGATATTGGAGTAGCATGTAACAAGATAATAAAAAAAAAATTTGCTTCTATATAAAAGAAATTCACTTATTTACTTGACTATATTTGATAGCTACATCAAAATAATATTTAATGTTCCTTTCATTAAGTGGTCAAATACTTTTAAATACATTCGATCTGACGAAAAATTAAGTTATTTTATTTTATATACTCACGTGACAATCTTTAATGAAACTAAAATCTATATGTACTAATTATCTAAACGCTGATATACTTAATATTTATTATTATGTTAAATTTTATCAAAGTATTTTGTGTAATATAATGAGTTTAATACTGTTTTATAGTAAGAATTCTTAATTGAGTACTATATTGGATTAAAGCATGTCGCGAAAATGTATGTTGTATATATAATCAAATAAATACCTATAATTAACTTTAATTTGTTATTTAAAAAAATAACAGAGCTTTATAAATACGAGGATTTTTGTTCAACTATTTTGTTAAATAATTAATAAAATTTATCTAATAATAGGGTAGATGCATATTCTCATCTGGTTCGCCATTCGGTGAAATTAATTATAATGGAAAAATCTTTAAACCAGGACAAGGTAATAATGCCTATATATTCCCAGGAATTGCTCTGGGTGTCATTGCAACAGGTTGTCATCATATTACCGAAGATATGTTTTTGCTGTCTGCTCAAGAAGTTGCGAATTATGTGTCTAATGAAGACTTAGAAAGGGGAAGTGTATATCCGCCTCTAGGATGCATTCAAGATTGTTCGATTAATATAGCATGTAAAATTGCTGAATACGCCTACAGATATGGTAAATTAAAAATTTATATTATATTGAAACACATTTCATATTTTAATTTTTAGCTTATTTATTATTATCTATTGCTTATTTAAATATATATATATATATATATATATATATATATATACGTATATGCATGTGTTACGTATAATATGTTTCGATTAATAATAATGAATAAATTAATTTCTAAACGCATTAATTTAATTAATATTAATCCATTGTAAATACTTATTAAAATTTTTTATATAATACAGATATTAACATAATAATTAAGTATTGTTTGTAGTAATATTTAAATTATTATTAATAATTTAACGAATAAATTACAATCATTTTATTAAATTACTTCCATTATTTGGACTGCTAATAGTCTTATTTCAATATTTGCATCGAAATTAAACATATATTTTACATCATATTTTATATTTACAAATATATTAAAAAGAATAAATAGATATGATATCTATAATTATTATTACAATTTTTTCGTAATTATTAACTTTTAGAACAAAAATAAAGGAAAACAATTTTATAAGGATTTTCATTTGTCATAAACATTATCATAATGACCTTGTTAAATTTAAATGATTCAAAAAATTTTAATAGCCTCAAAACCCAAGTTTATTTTGACAATCCTGGAATTTATTATTTTATTTAATATATTTCTCAAATTATTTATGAACAATTATATTGTTTTTGACTGATTAACTCCTAATTCATATTCAGATAATGTAATAGAAAATAATTTGATTATTAATTTAGTAAAAGAATTTAGTATATTATGATATACAAATATTATATCACTGTAAGATAATTCCATATTAAATAAATAAAACTTTCAATATGTATTTTCTGCAATATTTATATTTCTAATTATTTAATTATTTAATTTTTTCAACGCCTCAATAGTTTGAACATTATCAACAAAATTGTAATTTTTCATATATTTTCTTTTATAACCCTAAAAAATTTAAAGTATACTCAAGGTTTCTAATAGATTAATATTGAATATTTATTAAATATTTTAAAAACCTTTGTCGAATTAGCCTAGTTTTCGATTATTTTTTATTGGATTTTTAAAATTATTCAATTAAGAAAGTTATCCAGTATTATATGTCAAGAATAAAACCAAACAAATCATTATTTAACATAACTATATGCAGGATACATATACGAAAAATTTTATGAAAGAGTTTGTAAATATATTATAAATTCATTTATGTTTTAAGTAATTTATATATGTTGTATTATCGAAAAATAATTCCTATAATACAAGGAACATTATTATTATTACAACTGATTAATAGGTACTAATAATAGGTAAAAATAATTAACAGTTTCAAAATCTATAATATTCCAATAATAATGTATACAAATATAATTCAATTATTACATTACAATTACAAATTAAAATTTTTCAAAATACCTACATATTCAATCATATTTTAAATCATTATTTTATAACACTTTTATTCGCCAAACATATTAAAAAAATGTATTATTATAATTATAATATTAAAATATAAGTAGACATTTAGATTAATAGTAAGTACTGCGAGTATATATGTTATATTTTAAATTTTAATATTAGGTATACATTAAATATTTTTTTCCAGAAAATTCTTAAGTTATTTTTACTGAAATATAAAATATAACTTTGGTCCCAAGCTTTATAATGAAATAGCTTATTAAATGAAAAATATAACATTTATTACCTTAAATTTAATTTCACAATAATACCAAATAATTATTAAATTGAATTATATATTAATTACGTTATTGTTAATACACCAATAGAATTATTAATTTTTAATTCATAAGTGGTATGTTTTTAATTTTTAAAAACGCTTAAACATCGTATTATTTTTATTAATTTATTTTTTTATCATTTAGTTAAAATTACATTATCGAATCCATTAAGACATAAATATTTTAGTATAAAAATATTGACAAAATTATTGTTAAATATTAAATAATGTTTTATTTTATATAGGTAATTTGTCTAGTGAATATCCAGAGCCAAAAGATAAACGAGCATTCATTATCAGTAAGATGTATGATTGTAATTATGACAGTCCTTTGGCTTGTGTGTATTCATGGCCAAAAGACTTTTGTAATCCACGTACTTTACCAGAAAAGTAAGTTTTTTCAATACATTTTAAAATTATACTTCAATAATTATAATTTAATTTCCTATATCGCTGTAGGAAAACGTAAATGTAGTTCTAAAATAGATTATTAAACTTGATTTTATTTTGTGATAAAAGTAAAATTTATCGTAATATATGAAACGAAAACTTGAACGAAAATATTGATATAATCCGAATCTGCATAAAAAAAATTAGAATACGAAGATTTTGCTGATCCATCAATATTTAAATCTACATCATTAGTTAAGGTATCAATTTACTTTTTAAAGTCTTCACAGCTTTTCCAGCTGTATTTAACGCATTATCAAATGCTTTACTTAAATAAATTTATGCATTTCGAAATGTTTCTAGTTGACAATGATTTATAATAATTAATTACAAACTTTAAATAAACTTTAGTTATAACAGATTAATTGTTTTTAACTTTACTATGAGAGAAGGTATTATGAAAGCTAAAATAATACTGATACACTTACCTTACAATATTCTTCGTAATATAATGAATATGTACATTGCATATACCACATTGTGCATATATTATAGAATTCTGAAGTAAATAAATGACATTAAAAAAGTTATGTACAATAAAATCAATTAGTTCATCTGTAAATTAAAATAATGTCGAACATCTTAATCACGTTTATATGTAGGTTGTTGTAATATAATATTAATTCAATTTACATAATACGTCAAGATTATATGTATAAGTATTAAAAAGAAAATATATTTTTATGTTTTAATGATAAACATTAAAATTGTAAATATTTAAACTTCAAATGAAAATATTTTTAATACGCTCATAAGTTCATTAGCATCAGAACAAACGAATCAAAAGCACTTGTGTACATTTTAGAATATATTAATTGATATTTCGTAATGTTAATGTTTGACATCAATACTTTGCATTTTAATAAATTATTACAAATATTTTCATTTTCATAAATTAACAATAAAAAAATCAAAACTACGTTTACCTTTAAAAACTGAAGTTACTAGTGAAACTATTTTTTATGCTCTTATTAAATTTTCAGTAATATCTGAAGTTATTAAAACTGCTATTATAAATGGAGCATTAAAGCTTTTAAACATTTCTTTTAAATATTTACATGTTCATGAAATATAATAAATTATATATTTGAAAAATTAATATAAAATAATAATTATTTTAAATTATTTATTTACTCTTCAAAACAATGAAGTGACACGCTTAAGGTACGCATATTTGTATGAAAAGCATTTTTTTAAATTTGGACTAAAAGCTTTGACGTATTCTGACAATACTAATCACGTTATTTTTTTACATTTTTCTGTCATGTTTATCTTATTTATTATAAGAATATATAAGATACTTTTTAATTCATGTTTTATATGTTGTAATAAAATAATAATACGAAAGACAATGGTATAAAATTAAAGGTAATTAAGTTAAAATATTGAACCATTCAAAACATTTAAAAATGAAACAAATTTCATCTTCACTTAATTTCTAATTTATTATAGAAGCACATGCTTACCCAGATCAAATTAATTATATAAACGATCTATATAATAATTACTTTCGTAATGCATGCATATTTGAGTTAATTCCCGGTAATGGATAAATTTGAAATTACTATACATACATATAGCAAATATTAATCAAAGATACTGGAACGATAAAAAAATTATTTGAATGTTACTTAAGTAATAGAAAATAAGACTTCTTACAATTTTAATAAACTGGACATATATTATATATAGTTTCATATATTGTATATAGTTTTTTATAAAATATAAAAGCCAATATTTTTATAGATGGTTTTAATCATAAATTAGTTATCATAATAAATTAATGTCTTAATAATACATTTTAGTATTTAATATAAAACAATTTTTTATTACTTTATTTAATAAAATTCCTTTACTTTATTTAATCGTGGATTAGTATAATTTGTATATGATTGTATAAATATTTTTTTAATTCACTGTCAATCATGACATACAAGTCATAATTAATAATCTAATAATTGTATATATTAATGTATAAAATTTACATAAATGATTATTATTAATAATTACAAAGATTATTTTTAAATGGACTATAGCAGTAAATATTTGTATAAAACGCATAATAAAGCGATAAAAATAAAACACACTTAAATAACTTTATATTATGAGATAATCTAATAAGTTTTTAATTTTTTATATTATATAGTAGAAATTAATACACAAATATTTACAAAATAAGAATAATACAGTAGTTTTTTATTAAAATTTTTTCGTTAAAAGTTCATATAAAAAATTTTTTAATAAAATGCATGTTAATAAATAATAGAAATTGAAGCTTCATTAAATAACCAATTCAAATATATATATATATATATATATATATATATATATATCCATTAATACTGTTTAAATAATCAATTGATTTATATTTCTTCGATAATTTGAATCTTTTAACTGCAATTTTAACTATTTTGATATCTGATTTTAAAAAATACTGCAATCAGATTTTATACATTTTGTGCAAAAACTATTTTTATTGCATGCATATATATATATAACATACTAAGCAAACCTTCAAATTAATTATATTAATCTATCTATTGTTCCTAGCATGAAATATTTCGAAAACTGAAAATTATTTTATCGTGCCTGAAGTAAAATATATGTATGATGTAAGAAAAATGCATAAAAAATGTTATTAATTGCAAGCAATCACAATAACAGACAGTATTGAAACTGTTTGAAATTATTAAATACTCTACTGAACTAACCATTATGTTTTTTTTTTTTTTTAACAGCTTGTAACGAGTTGATGATATCCTTATACACGGCAAGATGAATAATTTGCTCTAAATAAAATAAAAAATGCATATACTTAGCAGGAATTTGTTCACGTACTACGCAATTTGACGATTCTAAATCTGACTTAGTGATTACAATTACATTTTTGTCAAGCAATTATATTGCAATAGTAATCATCCTATTCACACATAACTCCTGACTATATAATGAATTTTCAATGTAACTATATCAAGATTGAACAAAAAAGTTCACTAGTTAAATCGTTGAATTATTATTAACTATTGTACTTATCTAAAATTGAAGCGCGATATTATCTGTTGTTGTCTTTACAATTCATAAATTGTACAATAGAATAATTATTCATTTATCATTTATTCAATTTTTAAATTGCTTTACAATTTTTGAACGTTAAAAAATTAACGCATTAAGTAATGAAAATCATTTTCTGTAATTAATGTAATATTTCATTTTACCATGAACAATGGTAATAGATAATTACAATTTATATGTGTGAACCGAAAATATTTAAAAAATTTTTTAAAATCCAAGTTTCTAAGAGTTTAAATTTTGTTATATTTAGCATTTAAGCAATTTATTGTTAATATATTATAGACAAACATAATGAGTTATTTATATAAATATTAATACATTATATGGTCATATATTATTCTAAAATCATATTTAAATATATATTTAAATTTTAACAATTATAATGTAAAACAATTTTAATTATATTACGAACATAAATTGTTTAAAATATGTACATTCATAACTAAAACTATATAATTATTTATAGAAATTTTTAATTATACATTTAAAAATATAATTAATTTTTATTTAATATTTATAATAATGAAAAAGAACAAAATTAAATATATTAATAATAAATCTAAAGATTTGTTATAAAGATGACATTTTTCGCGCTTCAATTATAATGTTCTTTTTTCTTGCCCATGACTCTGATATATAAAAGCTATTTGGTGCAATAAATCTTATACATATACAAGATAAAAATGAACATAATATATTTAATTTCTTAGACACCTTTAACTAATTATCAAAAAATCGTACAAGAACCATTAATTATACATTAAAAACAAAACTATTAATGGAATACTTAAACGATTTGTAACAACAGTATTGTTTGTACATATAAGTTTTATAAGAAAAAGCTGAAGTTTGATGACAGCATTTTCAACTTTATATATTAAATTGTATCGCATATATAAATATAAAAGGAGACATTTCTGTTAATATATGGTTCCTATGAATGTGTAAAAAAAAAACCTAGAAAATCGTAGCTAGAAAATGATCTTATGTATAAATTTCTATTTAATTATATTATCATATTTAAAAAAAAAAAAGGAGTATTATGTTAAGTCATTTTTTAAGTTAGCTGCATAACGATTCAGCAATGTATACAACATTAAAATATTTACAATTATGTCATTCTTTGTTTTTATAAAATTTATCTTTTCCATCGTCATATTCTTCATAAAATGGATGACAAAAAATTGAATGTTACTGTAAATCAAATAAAATAAATCGTTAATCATTATTTTCTTATTTATTTTTTATAATCTGAATTTTCCTCCCTAATATACGAATTTTCGTAATACTTATTTTTTTATTTTACAATTAAGTATAATTTACTTAAATCACAGCAAACATCTAAAGAGATCTATTGTACCACATTTATTGGAATAGAATATTGTTGATCTAAGGCCATGTAACAATCTGACATTACATAAAATTGCAATCTGCTTGGTCCTAAAATAAACGAAAAAAATATTAATATGATTTCTTCATTAATTCATAAAGATTGTTGATGAATTAATAAAATATTAAGAAATTTTAATTGATTAAAACGACAAAAAAGATTATGAAATTTTAGAAATAAAATTTTATGTAATGAGTAATAATTGCACGTATATATAATTGTTAAATATATCAGAACAATTTTAATATGAAAAAGATTCGAAAATTTTCATTAATTCGACATCATTTTCATATTATTCTGATTTATTACAATCATAAAATATACATTGAGTTTAATTTCGATATATAAAATCTACAAATAAGATTTTTATAAAAAGGTTTATAAAAATTTATGATGCAAGAAATAATTGTTAAGTTACCTAAAATTGAAGTAGTAAACTGCAAGTAATGAACCTTAGGCGGCCCATATAATCCTGAAGCCCGTTTTAATGCCAGCAACTCCCGCCGATCAATATCCCCGAGAATGAAAAACCAACCTTCGTCTTTTCCACGATGAAATTTGGGACAATGCGCCTTTAACGTTTGAGAACGATTTTTACGTATAATCTCTATTACTAAGGTATATTCTTGATCTTTCCGAAGTGTTAAAGACGTCCAATTTTCTTGAGGAGAAATCTCAATTTGTTTATTTTTAGCAAATTTTAAATCACTTTGTATACAAAGTTTAATGCATAATACAGGCATATCTTTGGCAACTTGACAAAGCTATAACAATTTTGTTTTTCTAATATAAGTGAAAATAAAAACTACCATGTATTAAAATTATATTAAAATTAAAATTAAATATATTCCTGGATATATGTAAAACAAATATATTAAGATTTATTATTTAAATTATGTTATTTCAATTAAAAATTTATTTTTAAAGAATAAGTAAATTACTACAATTTATAAAATATTGATGAGTAAAAACAATATATTAATTCATTTTTTTTTTTAGAAATTTTGAAAATAAATTTCCCAAATTAAATTATCTTAAATTAATTAAGAAAACTATTTTATTAAAACAAATATATAACATTTCATTAAATGAATATTTGTCTCTTTATCATAAATACTATTTTATAAATTATGTACTTTTAATATTTTTTTCGTAAATTATACAAGCATTATAAAAGAATATTATAAAGTGATTAAGAACTATTATAGTATTATTAATTATAGGAGTAAATATTTATTAAGTAAAACAGTACTCTTACTTACTTTATTAATTTGGTTATCATTTAATACTTGCAATAAAGTTTTTGATAATCTACTATTATTAACTACTGATGCACAAAATAATGGTAGGCAAATAGGAAGATTTGAAAACAATGACAAATGTTCCTTCTCAATATATGGTAATGTAAGTATAGCAGGTTCGTCAATCCATCTTCCTTGAAGAATCATTTGAAGTAATATAATTATTTGCAGCGTTGAAGAAAGAAATCCTTTTTCAGCAACTATGTCTATCATAGCCTAAAAAAATGTTAATTTATTCATGAATCTTTTAGATTTCAAGAAAACTTAATAGAAGAATGTATTACATAATAAACATTTTATATTTTTTAAAGTTTTATACTTTAAAAATTTTGAATTTGTATTTGAATATATAGTTAATAAGTGTCATAATTTGTATTACTCTAAAAAATAAAAATATCACATTTATAATGATCGATTATATTATTCACCTGTAATATTCTTATAGACTGATCCAGTACAGACTTCAAATCAGTATAATAATCTGCGCATGGAAGTAATAATCTTGAAAAATGTGCTTGTAAAAGTAAAAAGGCTTTCGTGTTTGATGAATCGTAAGATAAACATTCCACTGGATATCGACATATTTTTGCTAATTCTCTAATATTTTATAAAATTTAATAAATTATAAACATTACTAAAATATTCTTAATAATCTGTTTTTAATTAAATGATAACTTTTTAATTTGTTTTATATTGCCATAAATCGTTTTATATCACTTTATAACTAGAATTAATTTTACCTTATTGGTTATGAATAAATAAAATATCACAAATTGAAAATCCAATTTAAAATTATATTATATTTACAAACAAACTAATAAAGTAATAACTGATAAATAAATATTAAATATAATAATAAAAATTAGTTTAATATTACCAAATTTAAATAATAGAATTCAAATCTAAAACTAGTAAAATAAGAATTTTTTGAAAAAAACTCAACTAAATATAATGCTATTATTAAAATTAAACACTGCCCATTTTAATGAGACATTAAATAATAATTATCATATATATATATATGTGTGTTTTTTAAGGATTGTTGTCAAATATATATTTAATCAAAATAGCATACTCGTTAAGTAAATCTTCGTTATGCCTAACAGGGATCTCATTATATTCATGAGCATTACACATAATTCTTAAACATTTTTCTAATGAAATATTATCTTCCAAATTATCATTAAACATAGTAACAGTTTTATGAGATAAATAATAATAGGAGGCAATTCTCCCTAAAGGTAATGGACCAATACAATTTTCTTCCTAAAAATTTAAACATTATGAATTTTATAAATACAAATATAACAATTATTATTACTTTAAATAAAAATATACTACATTATAATCTTATTCAATTTTTGTATCATTTAATTGATTAAATATAAAAATATTAATAAGTTAAAAAGTTAAATAAGAAAATTAAAATAACCACTATAATTAAATTATTATTAACTTACAATTAAATTTGCAAAAATCTAATTGAATTTATACATATTATTCAAGCTAATAATAAAATTTTGATAATAAACAATACAATTTAACTAGATGCCTTAAATTATTTAATTAATTTATTATATATTATATAAATTTATTTATTAAAAAAATATGTTAACTTTTGTTAACACTTATTTTATTGACAAAAGTAATTTTATTATCAAAAATATAGTTGAAATCCTAAGGATTATATGTTAAGATACTCAAAATTACATGTATAATGAATTTTAAAAAGTATAACCATTAGCTTAAGCTTACTTGCCTCATCGTTAAATACACATTGTGACTTTATTAATATGCTCAGAGTATTATCAACCAATTTTGACAAATAAATATCAACTTCTTCTGGCTCCATACTCTCAAGATTATAATAACGCGGATTCTTAACTAATCGTCGAAAGAAATAAGTCCAAGTAAGATAGTCCAGGAATTCTTGCTTAGTTTTGATTGTACCAGCAACAATTTCGGCATTTATATGGTCCGGTAACACTTGTAGCAGACTAGATTCTACTGGAAAAGGTTCATACAAAAATTGTTTATAAAAGTTCTTCTTAATGTCATGAACGAGAACAACGGCGACACCAGAGTCATCAAATTGTGGTCTACCCGCACGACCCATCATCTGTAACACATCTGTTATTGGCATATCCACATATCGCTTAGTCTTAGCATCGTAATACTCGGTGCCTTTAATAACGACAAGATGAGCAGGAAAATTTACGCCCCAAGCCAATGTTGCCGTTGTCACGAGGACCTGAATGTTTTCAATGAAATAAAATTTTTAGATAATCTTAAATAATTGAAGTTAAACATATGAATAGAAAAAAAAAAAATTAAAAAAATATTTTACGTTTAGTAACCAACATATAATACATAAGCAGAGAAATAATAAGCACATATAAAATTGTAATTAAAAAAATAAAGCTTTAAATAAATGATTATCAATAAAAAATATTGTCTCTGTATATTCTATTTTTATTAAATTTACCTGAAATTAAAATCAAATGAATTTATTAACTAGTTTTGTAATTACATATTTTTTTAACCATAAAATCAACTATAACTCTCATTACTTCTAGAAGTTAAAACTTGAAACCAAGTTTTTTATCTATAAAATATAATTTTATTATTGAGAAATATAAATAAAAAATTCCTTTTTCAAATATTGGAATTTTATTTATAAAATGTACATACAACATTTCTGCTGAATCAATACAGTATTATGGAATAATCATACTTTTTGTTTATAAAGTAATTTTAAGAAATGTGGGTTTAAAGTTTCAAATGCACTCGAAACCCAAATAAGAACATTTGTTAATAATTTACATATTTAAATTATTTAACTTATTTAAATTATTAACTGACCTTTAACTTACTTGGGCATGGATACATTTGTAAAATAAATATAACCAGGATATCAACCAATGGATAAATGTATGTGTATTTTTTTAGTAATAAATCAAATGAAACCTGGCCTTTGTGTCATCACTTTGAAAAAAGAATTTTACTTAAAATACCATATTAAAAATTCACACAATAATTGTTCATACAATATAACTTACCTGAATCTTATTATTCGTGAACAATTCTTCAACAACTTGTCGATCTTTATCCTCCAAACCAGCATGATGAATCCCAATACCGAATGCAAGGGTGAGTTTTAAATTAACGTCTTTGATATTATAAAGCAGATTATCCATTTCCTCTTCGCACATATGTAGCCACTGTTTGGGATTATCTTCAGCTGCAAGATATGCAATAAGATCTAAAGCAGTCAATCGTGTTTGCCTTCTCGAGGATACGAAAACAAGAGATGGACTGGTAGGTGCATGTTGACGAATAGCTGCAAACGTTGGTTTATTCATTGTTGCCATACGTGGACAGTAATGTTTGCCAGGAAAACCGGATATATGAACTTCCAACGGTACAGGCCTCACCGAAGGACGAAAATTATAAAGACCCATCTGTAGTAAGTCATTAAAAATATATATTTGGTAATTTGAATTACAATATTATATTACAACTTACAATATAATTTTATTATATTTACAGTGTTATTGTATATAGTTTTCATAAATAAAATTAAATTAAAATAGAAAGTCAATTATTTTTAACTAAACTAAATGCTCGGTTATATTTTAAAATTGGTTTCCAGAATTTTATTCTTTTCCTATGTACAAAATATACTTTATTTTTATTTTTACTAAATCTCTTAATACAACTTTTTACTTTAATAACTGTTTTATAAAAAAATATTGTTTAAATAAAAATTAAAAAATGGTACAAAATTGTCAATATATTTTTTTATAATTAATAAATTGATTAACACGTCTCCTACTTTTTCTGTTTAGAACTTTCAAAATTATTATAAAGCAAAGATTATTATAAACAAAATTTTCGTAAAATATTTCAACAGTTTAATAACATATGATTATAATACCGTGGAATGATAATTATTCGTTTTCATTTTTTTTATTTTAATTCTAATTATGGTCTCGGAAAGTTATTTGAACTTTTAATCTCGATTATTACTCAATAAAACTAATAATTTACTGAAAATTATAGTATATTCAATGTGTTTTAAAAATAAAGTAAATAAAAAAATTAATATATAAACATACTTATTTCTGCTATAGATATATTATGGAATAAAGTATAATTTAATAAAGCTTCAACTTTAAATTGATCTTTTCTTTCTAAAATGACACAATAATATTGTGTAATTTATCTATTAACATAATATTATACAATAAAAAAATCTGAAGATTATGATTAATATGTCACTCATTTACATGACATATTAATCAATAAGTGTACATTTAGCAAAAAAGTTGTTAAGCATTTTCAAATGAAAATTAAAAATGTTTATAAAGCATTTAACTTTCAACATTATTTCCTTTACAATTATAATCTTTATACTGTTATAAAATAAAAGTTGTTAATAAAATATATTCGTTACATTTAATAATATATTAATTAATAAGATTAAGGCTCTTTTTATTTTATTTATCTTAATGAATAAATTTGTGCTAATATTATGAACTAATTCTATTATTTATTCTAGTAGTGATTAGATTATTAATATTTATAAAGTACTAACCTTTTTTATTCCAAGCCAGTGTCCTAAGTCAACTGCGTTAGCTAAAGCTGTAGAAAGTCCTATAATTCTTAAAGTTCTTGATGTATGTGAAGCTATAAAATTTGTTCTAGATACAATTACTTCGAGTACAGGACCTCGGTCTTCTCCAAGTAAATGAATTTCATCAATAATAATGAGAGCCACTTTTTGAACATAATTTCGTGTTTGCCAACTTCTGCTTATACCATCCCATTTTTCAGGTGTAGTGACAATTACATCGGATGTAGAAATAACTTTTATATCAGGCGTTACATCTCCTGTCAATTCTACAACAGATTTACCTAACTGACTTAATCGTTTCGTCCAATCCTTCATTCGTTCCCTTACTAAAGCTTTCAGTGGTGCGATGTACACGATCTAAAATACAAGAAAAATTTATATTATAAAATATTCTAAATTACTTATTTTTCATTAAAATTAATTATACAATAAAATATATAAATCAAATACTACTTTTATTTAGTTTGATATATAACTGAAATAAATTGTAAATAATAATAAACAAAATAATACAAAAATTAAAAATATTTTTGTTTTAATCATTAAAAGCTATTCATTGTTTGTACATACGAATTATTGAAATATAAATATATTTGGGGTTTAATTTTTTTCACATACCTTTCGATCTGGTTGAGTTCTAAAAACTCTCATCATAGCTATTTCAGCAGCTATTGTTTTACCAGAGCCAGTCGGTGCTCCTAAAAGTACATTATTATCTGTATGATACAAACAATAAAATATTTGTGTTTGAATTGGATTAAAATGACTAAAATTATATAATTTTTTAAATTCCGGTAATTTTAATGCATCAACAGGTAATGGTTGTAATTCTTGAAGATCTGTAAAAGTAAAATCATTTATTTTAATTTATAATTTCTTTTTTTTTTTTTTTTCATAATATTTTCATATAATACATAATTTTGAATGCACTGAAATAAATTATTTTTTATTTTACCAGTATGAGGAGGATGAGATTCAGGTAATATTAAACCAGAAAGCTTTAAAGGTTGTATAAATTCGCAACCTAACCAGTGATCACTTGTAGCTTTTACAAAGTATTGATTAGGAAGAGGCTCACATAATGGAATTGTCATTACTATTTCATGACCACATTTTGTAATGACCTATTATAAAAAAAAAAACTTATTATAAATTATAAAATTATAAAATTTAACATATTATTCAATTAAATTTACTTGTTTCTTAGTCAATTGTATATATTCACAATGATATATATAATTATTTTCTGGATCTTCAATCCATAACCAGAAAGCTTCAGAATTTTTACCATGAACTTTATCATTCCATCTGAATTCAGGAATTATTTGTAAACGAATTCGTAAAATAGTGCGAGTTATAGGCTGTAATGTAGCTTCAAAATTAAGAGCAGGGAATTCGTCACAACATTTCTTAATGAGAGTTGCAATTTTTTGATTGCGTATCATACTCCCTAAAAGCCAAAAAACATACAAATTTAAAACAATTTTGAAAATGTTGTGCATCCTAAACAAAGTAAGTACCGATTTCCATCACATTCATATCTTTGAGCCTTTCTATCGTTAGACTACGTTCTTCAATTTTAGAAATAATGTCAAAAGGTAAGTAGTAGAATTGACGTAAGGCACTCATATGATCCCATTGTTGTAATTCCAACATTTTAGCCATTGCAAGCACTCTACCTGCCATGATTGCATTATTCTTACGTAACATCATTTCAAATAATGCTCTACATATACGCACTGTATTCTAAAAACAAAAATAATTTTTATAATACTTCTTTATATAGTAATAAATAAAAATTTAATATCTTTTCAATTTAATATCCATTCAATTAATTACCTGTGCAATGTATGCCTGATCTGATAGTAAAGAAAACGACTGAATTTTTCCTCTAGAAAGATACGTTTGAATTAAAATATTTACTTTACCATGAATATTTTCTTTTCCACCTTGAGGATTAACTTCACAATGATCTATTTGTAAACTATCTAATTCATCCATCTCATCTTCTCGTACTTTTAGCTGTTCAAATTCTTGTGAACGTGATATCATACCCAAAATATCAGCTTCAGTCATAATTGGTTTCATTAATTCATTAAATATTTCAATTGTATCATATTTCAAATAGAAATGACTAGCAGTTCTACCCAAATCTACATATAACATTTTTTTTTGTTTTTTTTTTAAAATTATTTAGAAAAAATAATTTTTAAAATTTATTAAGAATACATAAAAAAATATTTTAAAACAAACCAGTTGCATTCAAGTCTCCCGTATGTATATTATAGCGAATCATTCTTGCTTTATCAAGCGCCATAGCTGAAGTATGAATTAACTCTTTTCGTTTTCTTTCTAGATTAGGATCATTAAGAAATGACTGATATTCTATACCATATGCAAGGTAATTAAGTCTCATTCGTACAAATAAGTAGGTGTAACTTAACCATTCGACTGCTTCTTCTACATTTGATATGGTACCAAGAACTATCTATTTATAATATGTAAAATTATATTTATGGATTATTATATATATTCTCAAATATTACTGTAATAAATACCTCTGCATTTAAGTTATCAGCAAGATACGTAATAAAACTACTTTCAATTGGAAATTGATTTGTTAAGAGAGACAAGTAATGTGATAATTTATCATGTGATGTTATAATAACTGCATGTCCTGATGTATCATATTGGGGTCTACCAGCACGGCCAAAAATTTGTAAAACATCTAATATACCTAAGTCAATAAATGAACCATGTTTGGAATCATATATTTCAGTTCCCTGTTTGAATTAATTAATATAGATATGTTATAGAACAACAACAATAATAATAATAATAATAATAATAATAATAATAATAATAATAATAATAATAAAATTATATAAAAAACTATAACAAATAATACTTAACACGAATTATTACAGCATGTGCAGGTAAATTAACACCCCAGGCGAGTGTTGAAGTACAGATAAGTACTTTAATCATTCCTTCAGAAAAATACTTTTCAACAAGATTTCTGAAAAATTGATTGAATTTATAATAATTTTTGTATAATATATTTGAAAATTTATATTTATAATTTTATTATTTATTAATAATTTACATATTAGATATATTAGATACAATATTATTAGATAAAAATAATATTATCAGCTCATTCAAATCATGATTCGTAACTTCATTAATTTTTCGTGAACAATATTTCAATTGTTCTTATTCTTTATTATAAAAAAAATAATATCTTTTCTAAATAATAAAAATTCAAAACAATGCTAATATCAATAACTTTACAGCGTAAAATTAATCCTAATATATTGATATTAATTATATTTATAAGGAGAGGACATTAAATTGGATATTTTACTGTTAATGTATATTAATAAGAAATACAACAAAATCTGATTTTAAATTCTAAAATTTAATTATCCTTTACTAGACAATTTGAATTATTTGTAAATTTAAATATTTCAAAACTAATATGAAAGTAACCAATAATATATAATATTATGTAATCATTAATTTAATGCTTTTTGTATTATAAACTACGTTATCAGCTTTAGAAATAAAATAAAATAAAGTTAATTCTAACTGAAATTAATAAATTTAACTCATAAAAATATAATGATATGTATAATCATACCTATCTGTACGCAACATACCAGCATGATGTACAGATAAACCATGTTCAAATAATTCACTTAGATATTTGTTCGGTGATCTACTAAAAGCCTTCTGAGATAACTTTAAACTTTCATCTGATACGAATAATTGATGGGTTCCATTTTGTAAAGACATTTCTTTTATAACATTTGCTGTTCTTATTGTAGCATTTCGAGCATGAACAAAAACCATAACCTGATTAAAAAAAATTATATTTTAATCTTCAATAGTATATATAGTTAATGTATATAAAGATGCCTTAATTATTAAGTCATATAATTTAATTAAATTAAAATATTTACTTGATGATCTTTTTGGACCATATCAATAACTTGGTTGTAACAAATTAAATCCATATCACTCATACTTTGCATTGGTTTAATAGCCTTAACGCCAATAAAAGTTTGACTTAAAGGTACTGGGCGGAAGCGATGATCAAAATAAAATAATCCTTTGTAAGGATTTACTCTTAAAAATCTTGCTATATCAACATAATTTGGTAAAGTGGCTGAAAGACCAATAATTCTAATCATACTTTGAGAAGATTCAACCTATCAAAAATTGTAAATAATTCGTATTATTAATATAGTATAAATTTCATAGATATAATTATAATCTTATGACACAGATATTGTTAGTGTTTCGATTTTACTATGTTTTTAAATAAGTTATTTGCTTTTTAAAAATTCAAAATTAATAATAATATTTTCATTAATAATAATTCATATTAATATAAAGATAGAAAATAAATATAAATATTGATACATATTAACTGTCTTTATGAATTTATATTATTTTTAAAACATTAATGATTTCTTTTAGATAATAATGTATTAAATCTATAAATCTATCGTATATCTTTAAAATAAGATCTAATTATATTTTAATTATCTTATAAATATATGAATAAATAATAATTTTTACTTGTCTAAGAGTTCGTGCTACAAGAGCTTCTACAACCGGTCCTCGATCTCCATGAAGAAGATGCACTTCATCAATGATAAGTAACTTAACTATTCGTGTCAAAGCAACATCTCCAGTACCTTTTCTTGTTACCACATCCCATTTTTCAGGAGTGGTTACAATCATCTGTGTCTGTTGTATTTCAACTTTTGTTAATTGCATATCACCTGTTAATTCTCGTACTGTAATTCCTAAGCTACCCAGTCTATGTACAAAATAAAAAATATTTAAAAATTAGCATTAATAAATCCAAATTGTTCACATAAATAATAAATTAAATATTGTAAATTTTACACCTTTTACAAAAATTAGCTGTCATTTCTGCAGCAAGAGCTTTCATTGGAGCAATATATACAATCTTAAACTCATTAGTTTTTAAAATGTCATTATCTATGTGTAATTTAATTTGATGTATAATTGTTAAAAGTGCAACATTAGTTTTGCCAGCACCAGTCGGCGCGCTAATAAGTAAATTTTCATTGGTGTTATATGCTGCATTAAAAACTATACTTTGTATTCTATTTAATGATTCTATGCCATTAAAAGCCATTTGACCAATCTAAAATATTTATACAATATTTTTAAGTAATTGACGTTCATTTTAACGCGTTTAATATATTATGTACTAACTTCATCTAAAGATGATATTAATACACGATTATTCCCCACATTTAAAGGATCTAAATTTGGAACAGGAATATCAACTTGTTCACAAAGTTGATTATCAATTCTATTAACATTTTCTGGTAGAAGTATTCTTTTTCCAGATACAAATCCTACGCATTAATACATAATTAAATAAAAAAAAAAAATATATATATATATATATATATATTATAAATTAGAATAAATTGGAAAATTTTAAAAAGTTGTATATTACCCGTTTTTCATTTTATGTTCGTATTAATATGTTGTATAGTAGTATACAATTTTTTTTTAATACATAAAAAAAGATAAAATAAAATGGTATATTCACGCACTTAGAAATATATAAATTTAAAAAATACATTACTATCCTGTAAATGAATCAGAATTCTTTTGCAATAGCTAAATAGAAATGAAAATTTGTTAATGAAGCATTAAGAGGACATTGATTTTTAATAATCATTTTATATCTATATTTTATAATTTATAATCTATAATTTTATAATCTATAATTTATATTTTATATCTATATTTAATTAAATGTTTTTAAACTTATTAAACTCTTTACATAATGTAAAGTTTTAGTATCTACGTTTTTATATATTTCATATAAAATAATCACAATGAAAATAAAATCTTACTAGTCTGCAAAAATCTACAACAATCTTATATCAAAGGCTGAAAGAATGCTCAAGTTTAGTAAAGTTTTGTTGGATAGCCTATACCAATACTAAAGAATGAAAATGTTTTACAAGCAATATTCTTGACCAATTAAGCACGACGGAAAATTTTACTATTCAATCAAATAGAAGCAATTAAACGTCATAGATTCATAAAAATCATAAAGAAAATAATTTAAAAAAAAAGTATCCTTTCTAAATAAAAATCGTGTATTCTGATAATTCAGTCCTAAAAAAAATTAAATAAAGCGAAGGAGAAAGACTTATAGAAAAACAATATTTATAAATTTAAAAGCAACCATTAACCAAGTATATTGTTAATTAAAATTATAGAAAGCTTAAAGAGAATATTAAGCCACACCTAGAGAATATTATGGATATGATTTTAATAATATTTTCATTTATTCAAATAGAAATTTATATATTATCTCACAATGTGCAATTATTCATTGAAGATTGAATGTTGATAAGGAAACGTCAAACATTACGCTTCATATTTAAACACAAATCAAATGAATCGATTAAATAAGATTAGAAGAGCACTTTTATAAGTTCTCATTAAATATATAATGAGGTCATACTTAAAGAAATCCTCTCTTAGAATCAACTTATAGGTACAAGAGAGTTGGTTCTTATATTCTAATCTTGTATGACTGTCAAGTGAAAAAAAGAAAGTGTAATTGAAACATATAATTTTAAAGACATTTATAACTTTTTATATAATGTTATCGCAGCCATTACTCTATAATTAAATTTACAGTAAAATCAACATAGGTTTTCGATTTATTAATCAAAAAATAAATCAGAAAAATTAAATTCCTTTTTTTATACCTAAATATTAATTTTTCTAACTGCTTTTTTAAATCTAATATTTTTAATCTTACACAATAGATAGATATATAGATACCTGCGCTAGATTTTATACTTAATTTGGAGTCAAAAACAAATGGATAATTCTTATGAATGTTGCTAGATACACCAATTTTACTTTGCTTTAGTATAGGCTCGGATCTTGCTGACAAAGCTTCTTGCCTTTTTAACTGTAAATCTATTGAATTAAAAATCTCATCATCATCATCATCATCATCACCATTTCTACCACTTTCAAGTTTACTAACTGCCTTTTGTAACTTTTTTTCTTCTTTACGTACTTGTTTCATTAGTTGTTTCTCTTTTTCTGATTGAATAATTACTTGAGAAGCTATTTGAGGCTGTTTATCTTTAAAATAATAGTAAATGTTTGATAAATATTTCATAATTCTTGATAATAATTTAAATATAAATCACCTGTAAATGCTTTTGTTAATTTAGTATTACTATACCACATTAATATTTGTTTACGATATTCTATAATATATTCAATAAAGTCGATGTGTTCATATCCTAATAAATCAAATAGCTCACTTTGAATTGAGCTACCAGGTATTTTTAATTTTTCCATAATAATATTTACAAATTCATCAAAGGACATCACTGTAGAATACTTTTTAAAGATTTTTTTTATATCCCTGTTTACTTGTTGCTTATCAAACTGAAAAACAATACAATTTAATATATCATATTTTTACATATTTTTATATAATTGTAGTATACGAACTTCAACTTTTTTTGCAGTTGCTTCTACTCGTGATAGTTTTATTAATTCTTCAAATTTTTTTGTTGTATCAGTTGAGTATTTTGAATTCATATCCTGAAGTTTGTCGGTTTGAGGCCATATCACCTGTGCCTCATGATACGGAATGTTTATACCGAATGGTTCCGTATTAAAATCTAAATCATATGTATTTTTCTCCAAATTTTTAATTAAATTTAAATTTTCTTCTGATATGATTTGTCGAATTTCAGATACAATCTTTAAACATTGTTTATAATTAATATTAATTCAAGAAAAAAATTGTAAACATCCAAATTCATACCATTACTAAATCATTCAAACACTTGTGATCAGCTATACCAAGTAACTGTTTAAGTTTTGTCATTGTTTTCTGACTTACTACTTTCTCTTCAATTAATAAATTTGTTGTATAAATTGATAACTCATTTATTATTTCAGAAGATTGACCCTCTGTAATTAAATTAATAATTAAATTATAATATACAGTAATCAATGCAATAAAAATAAATCAAGTTCTATTTTTTAAAAATCTTACCACAAATTTTTGATAATATAAGATGTATCTTATTTAACAAAACAACAATGTCCGATGGTAATTGTTTGCAAATTTCGCTCCATTTGAAGTTTCTATAACATATTAAATTAAATATATATATATATATATATATATAAAATATAGAAGTTATTAAATATAATATATTAAAATAAAAATATATTTTATTGCTACAAAACTAAAAAGTTTTCATAACATGTAATATTTATGAGAGTAAACAAGTACTTACTACAATTACCTTAATAATATTTATGTTTATCTATTTATATTACCTTAATATGATTTATATTTTTAACCATATAATTATTTTAAATTCAAAATTATTTCTTTTCAAATAAAATAGAAATAATAATACATTTAAAATTTATGCATTGTTAATTCATCTAATTTTAATATTTACTGAAATTGAAATAACCTTAAAACAGAAATTACCTATTAAGTTTTGAAGCTACTTCTTGCCTTTTAGCATCCAAATCATTCGGTGTTTGATAATTGAGCTTTCGGCACAAATCTGTAAAAGTACGCATTGAGCGAGTAATACGCGGCATTTCATATATTTCTGAATTTTCAACATAAAAATTGTCGATATAAAACAATACTACTATACACCACTTATAAAATGATATATTTTTCTTCTTTACATAAATCACAATGCACAGTTAGAACTACATCATTCAAACAACGTGCTAATTTAAATTTTGGTCCTTAGGTCTTTGGTAACGACCACCAGATGGCTAATTCTCATTGTGTAACGCTCAGGGCTCACTATTTTTGTACTCTGACAATGTTTAGAAAGGAAAAGAACGGTACATTTTTAAGTTTTTAAGTTTTTAAATAGTAGTAACGATAAAAAAAAAAAAAAATTAGCCTCACTACACAAAAAGCAATAAATTTAAAGAAAAATAGTAATTACTAATGTTTCGGCTCAACTTATTACATTCTCGGATAAGCGTCGTTTACTCATGTGATCGGATTTTTCCTGAATTCATGATCGGATTAACAATTGAATGATCAAACAAGGCTATTGATTAGTTTTTATTATATTATAGATGAGTGAATGCATGGAATTTGATTAAACTAGACATCAATCACGTACAAACCTTAAAAAATCTTTATTAATTGCATTTGATCTTTGATCCATGTTCAGAATTTTCATTCTATTGTATGATTTTTGTCGTTATATTCATATTTTATTATATGAACGACTATCAGTCACATCATCGTTAAAGCTCACAATTTTGTAAGAAATAATGTTCTGTATTTAAATACTACTTCTATTACTTTTAAATATATATATAAATGAAATAATACAAATCCATCTTGCTTCAATTTAATCTGCTTAACACCGAGATATATAGAGACAAGACGTATATAAAATAAAAAACGTACGAGATAGAAAATTAATTCCATTCTTGCAGTATCTGGGTCATTTATAATAAATATGTTATAAAATATATATTAAACCTATAAAACCGTTATAAAATTTATGATTTCCGATAAAATTTAAATTATCAATAGTAAAATAATTATTATCTATCTTAATAATTAAAAAAATTTTTATTTAGTAAGAAGTTAAAGCATAGTAGTTTTAAAATGTACTTTAAGCACAATGATAAAAGAATGAATTACAATAATTATTATAACAATATTTTATGAACGTAATATAATTAAATACATAAAAACTTTAATAAATAATTAGGCTCGTATTTTTTCTGAAAGTTTTAAATATCAAGGAATTTATTATTTTTATAATAAATCTATCTAATAACTATTTAGAATAATAATCAAAATAAACAAGAATTATTATTTTTATTTTTGAATCTAAATATAAAGTATTTATTGAAAATTATATTTTAAATTAACTATGTGTACATATTTGTAATATTATCTAATATTTTAATATCTTTTCATTCATTTGCTTTCTTATTTTAAAATCATATCGTATATAAAATTAATGTCTTCAATTTTACCGCCAATTATTGTATTTATTTTGAAATTTATCCAGATACCTCCTATTTCTAGGGTTATAAGTATAAAATTTAAATTTACAATTTACTTTTACTCCATCAGACACTTATTAGGATACCAATTAAATTTATAGAAATTAATCCCTACAACAATTTAGCTTGCTTTATTTGCCTACAATTTAGGTACTTACAGCACAGAATTATTATTCTAAGGAGATTATAACCTTCATACTTCATCAGCTGTTTTATAACGTTGAAAAAATTTTAACCGGGTTTTAGAAATGAATTTTTATTGAAGCCTAATAAATAATTGAAATCTAATTTGTAATAGCTAAAATTAAATAGTAATGTGATGTAACTAAAAATTCAATTTTTATTCAATGTTGAGATATATTGGAAGCATAGTATAAATTAGGTAAGAATAGTAATACTTTTAAAAATTCTGTCATTGTTATAATAATAAATATTACTAAACATATTTGAGCAGTAAATATATATTATAAATATATAATATTATTGATTTTAATATAAAAATTATGTTTAGTGCACAACTATAATTGAATGTAAACATACATACGATGTCACTACCTGTGAAAGACTTAACCAAATTACTAGATTTATTAGATGAAGAAAATGCCAATACGGCATTAGAAAATTTGTCAAATCAATTACATTTAACTTTTCCACGAGAAGATCGTTTTAAAGTTGGAATGACACTACTTCTTTTATTGCAACAAGTAGACTTATTATCAAAAGAATTACAGCGAATAATTGCAGTTGCAATGCTTTTTGATCTATATAAAGGAGAGTCTTTAGCCAATACACCATTTGCACCAGTATTTATTAATTTATAACGTTTTTTTCTTTATATAAGTATATAATTAAAATATTCATGAATTTCAACTGACTAAAATTATATTTATAAATTTTAATTATAAATAAAACTAATATTTTTTTTAGGTTTTTGTACAAATTTTAAAAACACCTGGTGAAAGCAATGATAAAACCCAATTTTCAGGACATATTCCAGTTTTATCACGTTGTGAAAAATATTTAATTGCTAGTTTAATGGGATATAATTACAAAGATATAATCAAAAAAACACCTAGACAAATAATCGAAGAACTTTATCTTCTTCCTAATCCACCACCTTATGATTCAACTGATTTACAATTACAGCTAGTTGAACGTCGATCTGAACTTCCTGCAGTTGAAAAATGTGGTAATCCAGTTATCTTATCTGATGTAACAGATCAACCTAAATTAGGAGTTATAAATGATACAGATGCAAAAATTATAAGTAAAAGTATTTTAGAATCTCTTGTGATTGGCGATCCACCGCCTTATATTCAAAGTTCTCAACCAGAATTTTTAAGACCAGCTCCACCAATTCATCGATCTACGTTAGATGAAGTACCATGGATGAATATGTCAGAACCAAATCAATTTAAACTTGAATACGATACAAGTATGTGTGTATCAAACTGTGCTGGAGCAGAGGCGAGAAGACTTATGGGTCGAGCATTTAAAAGTGTTTTAACATTACAACAACAGCAGCATCTTGTAACCGAATTACATAAAGATCCGAAGCTTGTTTATCATATTGGACTAACACCAGGAAGGTTACCAGATCTTGTTGAAAATAATCCATTAATTGCTATTGAAGTACTTTTAAAATTAATGCAATCCAGTCAAATAACAGAATACTTCAGTGTACTTGTGAACATGGAAATGTCTTTGCACTCTATGGAGGTTGTTAACCGATTAACAACAACAGTAGACTTACCTACTGAATTTGTTCATCTCTACATAAGTAACTGCATATCAACTTGTGAAACTATTAAGGATCGCTACATGCAGAACCGATTAGTACGATTAGTCTGTGTTTTCCTTCAATCATTAATTAGAAATAAAATAATTAATGTACAAGAACTTTTTATCGAAGTTCAAGCATTTTGTATAGAATTCAGTCGAATAAGAGAAGCAGCTGCTCTCTTTCGTCTTCTGAAACAACTGGAATCAGGTGATACAGCTGGATTGAATTCAACACCAACATCCAAAAACAATAAAGTAGACATGTGTTAGCTGTGCATTTAAAAGATATAAAATTATGGAAACATCCAGAATGGAATAAGGATATCTATAAATTTAATCATGTGATCATATGATTATATGTAAGCAAAAGTATATGTAATTGTAAATAATTAATTCTTTGAAATAATAATTAAAATGTTCATATTTACCCTATTCTTTTAATTTAATTTTTATTTACAGCATTCATTCAAGGCGATTTTTATATATATTTACATATTTGGCATAAGACAATATTCAACTAAATTTTAAAATATTTCGGATATTACTTGTTAATGTATTAGTTAGTATTTTAAAAAATTATTAATGCATCTTATACAAATTCAAATAATAAAAAACGAATTCCAAATAATCTTGAAATTAAAAAAAATATATTTTATTTCAAGTATATTGAAAAAATATTACTATGTAAATTTAATATTGATTTGACAATTGTTACGTTTGCAAATTTCTAAAAATACTGTTAAATTATCATATATTTTAAGTGTATTTATTCTTTAATTTAACATTAATTGTGAAGACTTATTTATTTCAAATTATTTATAGTCCTTTATTTTATAAAAATAATAGAAATTAATTAATTTCTAATATATAAAAGTATGAAAATAAAGAAAAATAATTACTACAAATGTGATTTTTCTATTATATCTTTAAATATAAAATCAATCTACTTATATATAAATTTAGTATACTTTAAATGCGGGTATGGAAGTCATTTATTTCGAATTTTGACAATAATTCAAACAATATTTGCAAAATTCAATTTTGCTAGTTTATATATTCACATACAAAATTCATATATATATATATACATAAAGCATAGAATTACATAATCTGCGTACTTATAGAAAATCTAAATAAAAGTTTTAAATTATGAAATATAAAACAACTCTATTTCATTATTTTTTCTATACAACTAATCCTAATGTTCTGTTCATACATAATAAGATAATTAATACAAACCTTAAATGGTTAATTTTCAGTATTCAATTCTTGTATATAATTAATATGTATTTACAATTATTTAATCATTCTTTCTATTCCTTTCTAATTACATAATTTAAATACTACTGCTAGCACGATTATAAATCACCACAAAAAGATAATTAATTCTATTCAGCACTATTTATCTAACAAGCACGGGTAATTTAACAGACTTTTTTTTACTTAAATTTACCTTTAGCGAGTTTTCTATCTAAACTTTCGAATTCTTGCTTCATTATTTTTTTATGCTTTACAATTTTATTAGTTTTATTGATCTTATCTACTTTATTTGAGCTTTTTGATTTGACTCGTGCTGCCAAAATTTGAGAAGATAAACCAGGTCTAATCATGGACCCGGTTAACTGATACTAGGCATTAACTTTCACTTTCTTTTTGCGTTTCTTTTTTTTCTTATCGTGATATTGTTCTTGTTTTTTGGCAATACACAATCGACAATACCAGTCTTCGTTATCTGCTGGAGCTACTTGTATTCCAACACACACCCTAAAAATAATAAGTAATAGAATTATCATAATAACAAATATTATAATTTAACAATTAATGTATTAATTGAAATAATAATATTATTATTACTACGTTGCAATAATAGAAATATTATTATTATGCAATAAGTATAAAATTAAACAAATTTACCAATGATACCAGGCATCACAATCATCACAGCCTATCATAGGAGATCCATCATCTTGTTTTCCGCAAGCAGGACAAATCCATACTTGGCGCCCACTTTGATCCTGCAATACTCATTTTATTATAGAACACAATTTATATCATTTCAAATATATTTCAGCTCAACCCATCTTTTGTAAATATGATTTTTCTCAATAAGTGACAAAACTATAGTTTCCATATTTTAAATTATTAATAAATGATAACAAAATGACTTTATGAATATAAAATATGTATGAACATAAAATGATAATGACCTTTATCGATGAATCGAATTTGACTCTTTCCATTTTAATATCTGATACTTTGTGTTATCGAGGTAAGAATTTTAAATATACGCTAACCTTACGATACTAGACTAACGCACCGAATAGAATTTTTAAATGTGTGCTTAATTTAGAACAATTTTAGAACAATTCAGATATTTGAATTCATGATGGAATATATATCGAACTGAATAAATATAAGAAGAACGATACAATAAAATTCCTGTTACTTTGCTATTGCTCACAATAACATTCTTCATATAAGAGCTTTTATATTAGTCTTTTCGTACAAAATCGAAAGATACAGAAATACATCAGAATAAAGAGTTTCGCTATAATTGCAAAACTCTGATTACTCACCACAGTGACAGTTGATTTTGAAGTTAATGTATTCCCGCCATTCTCTTTATCTTCTTTAGTATCTTCTTTTTTAGGAACTGCTTCCGCTTTTGCTTCTGTGCCATCAAAAGCGATGGTTATAATCCTAACTATTCTCATTTGCTTTACAAATTTCTAAAAGTGAAACTATTCGTGCAATCGACATGCAAACAAGTAAACTATTTCTACTGAAATTCAGCACTTGCAAAAATTTGTTAACTAATACTGAATACTTTTAATTATTCTTGTATAAACATTATTTATGTAATTAAATATTTTCATTAACATATAAAGAATTCCATTTAATTCCTGTAATATAATAATTAATTTTCTAATTAAATAAATAAAAAAAAAAAAATAATAAGGAATCAAAATTTACAATGTACAAACTTAAAATATTTTAATAGTTTTTGATAAAACATTAAATTATATAACAAGTAAATCATTGTAATAATTAAAATTTTCATAGGGAGTAAAAAAATTAATTTTAAAACTCTCATATTAAATACTTCTAATAAATTATAAATGCACTGACATGAAAATTTTCTAATTAAGTAATAACTGTAAAAAAACATTCACATCACTTACTGATTTAGAAATAAAAAATATTTAATAGTGCTAATAAAGACATAAGAATAATAAAGTTTTAATGTAATTTTAAAAATAACTATAAATTACTGAATTTGAGTTGCAACAACTAATTATTTCTTTTACACATATACTTGAAAATCAAATATTAAGCATACATTACTATACCAAACAACGTTAAACTAATAAAACTATTTCATCAAAATATAATAGATTAATGTATCATATATATGTCATAATTTGATGAAATGGTTGAAAATGAAAAAAACTCCCAATATTAATTTCCAGAAGCTAATATTTAACTTTTAATATTTTACTTATATTTAACTTAATATATTTTTAAAAGACGTGATATAAAAATGTAGCAGGTAAAGCTATTTATTGAAAAATCAAGCTTTGAAACTATCGTGCACTTGAAAGATATTTTAAATATAATTAATGAAAGAACAGTACTAAACTCATACACACAATTAACACAAGAATAAAAATTACGAGACAAAATTTTTAAAAATTCCAAGCCAAAGATTATAGCATGACTCGGCTCTTTAATTAATTATAATTTAATTAATAATTAATAATTACTACTTTTTAAAACAAAAATAAAAATAAAACAGAATTTGATTACGTGTAGCCTATTAAGGTCTTTTCATTGTTTATTAGTACGAAAAATTAATATCTATTATGATTTTTAAATATCTTAGAAAATTTTTTTATTTTTTCAATTATTGTATTGAATTTTATGAACTAAAATATAAGGAATTATTTGATGATTTAAGATTTAAAGATGAATAAATTTATGATATATGAGACAATAAAATAATCAAATCAATTTGTAACAAAATTCAAAATCATGAACCGACGAGCCTAAGTAATAAGAAGGAAGCATCGACCAACTAATAAATAACTAAACCATCACCTTATAATAAGGTTATAAAGAAATGGAAAAAATACATAAATAAACAGAAAGACAAGAAAAGGTCAGAAAATATGACAGAAAACAGTGATGGGTTGAAGTTGGAATATGGATAAGGATAATTTTTGTTCACTTTCCGCATTTTCAAAATCCATGATAGTGTATTTCTTTTGATGGATTGAGCTGAATTATTGATTTGAATTAGCATAATGGAACAAAGCTTTATCAATAGAAATAAAATTATTCGTTCAAATTTTAGAATATGTAAAATTCTAATGTTATTACGAATAAAATTATATTAGTTTTAATAAGTAAATTTATAGGTTTTGTAAAATTGTTATTCTAAATAAACTATTGTTAAAATTTAATATCTATCTAAAATTATCTTCAAAAAATATTTTTTCTTAATTGAATTAAAATCCTAAAAACTTTGCAATTTATTTTTACTAAAAATATTTAGGAACACCTTTTCTTCCATCTTCAAACGTGTCATGTTAGACTGATAGTGCTTGATTTTCTATATTAATTTTTATGGTAATTGTATATTCTTCTATTAACCTTATAAATACTTAATTCATAATTACAGATTAAAAAATCTTTTTGAATTTAAAAAATGACTAAATGAAAAAAAAATTATATATTATATATTATTGATATATAATTTATTCATTTAAATTTTTTGAAAATGTTTAACAATAACAATATTTAATGCAACCAATTACACTTATACATATATGTAAGATTATTTTAACTTCAAAATAAATTGAAATTCTATAATGCATTAAAAGCTGTAGCTTGTATAATGCACATTGTTTTTTATATGTGTACTTAAAAAAAAATTAAAAAGGATTTTAAAAATATAAAACTTGTATTGATTGATAGCCATCTGTATTTATTATTCCTATAAAATCAGTTTTTTAACTTAATAATCGTATTCATAATAATACCAATCATAACAATAACAGTAACAACAATGATAATAATAATAATTGTTGTTATTATTATTATTATTATTATTATTATTATTATTATTATTATCTCTTATAACTAAGTAAATCAAGCTATTTAATAAATGTATATATGGAAGATATTTTTATATCCATTTTTCATTCTTTTATATTAAATATCACTATTGTATAAACAAAGACGAAACTTTGCCCACAAGTTTTGACAAAGTTCTGCTCCATCGCTAATTCGCACTTCGACAAATCGGCTCATAATACTTACGGTGAAGCAGAACTGCATGCCTTCTCGCAGTGCCAAGGAATGAGCGGATAAGGAATGGGCGTATACAGGTGAATCGGGAGAGGGTTCCCTGAGGGACAAAGCCTTAAATACAGGCTTTTTGGTCCGCAGAGTAGGAACGAGTGTCGCATTAGAAAGAGAAGCTTCCGAAGGAAGATTAGCGTATGCCTCTAAGAGTCCCTCTTCTGCTTTCTTACTTGTAGACTTCTGCTTGGGCGGTCGTGTTACCAGTGCTGAAATCCTCGCTAGTTCTGGGGTTGGTTCACGCTTCACTTCCTCTTCTGGTTTCTTTGGTGGCTTTATCGTGCTGCGAAACATTTAAACGTGATCAGTGATAACGAGTTTAAATATTATGAGTATAAATTACGCCGTTAATGAATTCAATAATCATACATTTTCTTTGTTAAGGCACTGTCTGGCGTAGGAGGTCGCGGCGAACCTCCGGCTGGTCCTAATTTCAAAGTAATCTTTGGCACGCTTTCAAGAATTTTTTCTTCCTTCTGTAGTTTGGTAAATTATAATAATTATTAATACTACCATTTCTTAAAACTAAAAACTTAAATATAAAATTATTATAAAATAATAATACAATTGTTTCATATGCCAAATATCTAATTCAGTATCTAAGTTTAAAAAATATATTATAAGAAAATAAAATTTATTACTTATTAAGAAAATTTCATATAAAGTAAAATAGAATTCATAATAAAACTTACTGCAATTTTTTTATTTGCTTCTTTTTCCTTCCGTTTTTCTTTCTTTTCTTTCTTTTCTTTAATTTTTTCTAGTTTTTCCTTTTTTTCACTTTTATCTTTTTTTTCTTTAATTTTTTCTCCCTTATCTTTATGCTTCTCTTTTTTCTCTTTCTTCTTTTTTAATTTATCTTTTTTCTCTTTTTTATGTTCTTTTGACTTCTATAATAACAAATTATTTCTTTAAATTAAAATGGTAGGTACAAAATTGATTCGATCAATACTTTTTTACTATGAAAAGTTAATCGTGCAAATTTATTAATACAACTTTTTGCTTTCTATTATTATAAATATGTATTTATAAAATAATATTTTCATCATGCTCTTAATACTATCATGTATGTATATACAAATATAAATACTTATCAAATTGATTGATATATAATTAAAAAAGCAATAATTTTTTTTTTAATATTTTCTATTAAATATGTGTACTAATATTCAAATTAATAATAATAATAATAATAATAATAATAATAAATAGAACTAAACCTATAAATGAACTTTTAGTCATAAGAATGAAGCAAGTAATTAACCACTTATTCATTCGTACTATTAGCTTTATAAAGCATTGCCATCATTATTATTATTATTGTTGTTACTATCGTTGACGTTGACGTTGTTATTATTATTATTATTATGGTTATTGGAGTTATATATATTACCTTATCGATTTTATCAATTTTTTCGACCTTATCAGGTTTAAAAGATTTGACGAGGGGCAAGTTGGGTGGTAATAAAGGAGCAGGAACAACTGGAGATATTGCTGGAGGGATTAGAGGTGTCATAAGACTTCCCCCGCTACTGGTCAAGATTGGTGATGAAACTAAGGTATCCGGTACAAGATAGTTAGTTGAAGTTGGAAGCTTCGGAGATGATAGCATCAATTCCTTTTCTGGACTTTTTAATGGTCTTGGTTTATCCACTGGCAATTGCTGCTGTTGTTTCAAAGATAACGTGGAGGATACCGGAGAAGCAGATGGACGTAAGGATTCGCCAATCAAAGACGGCGATGCAATGGATTTAGATGGTTCGATCTTAGGTCGGAAAAAGCGTTGACGCAACATGCCAGGCATTACCGCAGCTGGATTTGGTGGTCCCACCATTCCTGGTAGAGCCTTGTGCAATGGAAGAGGAAACATAGGATGAGGTATAAGGCCAGGAGCTGCAGGAAATGGTGGGAAAAAAGGGAAGGGTAAAGAAGGGGGCAAGCTAGTATCCCTAGGTGGTGGTGGTTGCTCTGGTGCCTGAGGCGTCTTTGGCCGATCCATAACGTTGACTTCCACTGAGTCGTTTGACAATCTTGCCTAAAAATGCCATTGCATTCTCTTAAAATTGAATCTTCATATTTCTTATATATATTTGAAGGATTATTTTTTCAAAATTTATAAAAATAATGTCGTTAAGTATAGAATTATGAAATATTTGTATCAAATAGCCTTAATTTTTTATATTTATCAATTTTTTACAAATCAAGAAGTTTTTACTTATAATATAACTAGAGCAGCAGTTTAAGAACTTCATAAACATATTAAAGAACTTTAAAAAGAAATATTAAAAAACTGTAAAATATTAATATTATTTTACCTTTTTTGGACTAACAGTATTTTTTAAACTTTTTAATTTTGTTTCTTTCTTCTTTCCAGTTTTTTCTTTTCTTTTTTTTTTTTGCTCCATTGTAACATTTGGAACATTAAGTTCTGGTGTCTTTGGAGTACTTGGAGTTCCTGGTGGAGACATATCATCAAACATATAGACATCAGATCCAGGACTCATCATATCTACTACACCATCATCTGTTACTGTAGCTCGTGCTGCACAATTATTAGCTAATGGACTTTGTAAAATAGATTTCTTATCCTCTTGCTTCACAAGGATATCATTGCGATTTCGTTCATTATCGCTAATAATTAAACTTGGCGAATTGTCACTACAAGCATGATCTTTTAACTTATGCTGTAAATCTATTACTTCCTTTTCTTTATCCTCTTTGGGTTTCGAGGATATCTTTTTAAAAATATTGAGTTTTTGCTTATCAGGTTCGATAGGTAATTTATCGACAACTTCTTCCTTACGCTCATTCAAACTAATATTTTCTGTATTCTGTGTAACATCTATAACTCTTTCCACTTTCACTTTATTTATAGTTGGAATATTTTTTATATGTTTCGGACTTCCTCCTGATATTTTACCTTTGAATAAATCATACAAAATTTAATTAGGTAATTAATTTGTTATATAATAAAAAATTTCAAATTTGTAAGTAATAAAAGTAAATTAACATATAACATAGATATGAAAATATAAAAAAATATATGTAAATATTAATATTTCATTTAAAATTAATTTTATAAATTTTTTTTAAAACATATATTAAAAACATAAAAATATTTTGGTGGATATTTTTATATCATTGTAAAATACATAATACAATTTTTTTTAATTAAATTTGATTTAATTAAAGATATATTAATTTTCAAGAAATATAAAGTAAATTTAAAATATTTGCACAGTTTAATAAAAAAATATTACAAATCTTCCTTATTTATGAGTTAAATTAAAAAGTATGAATATTTTCATTTAAGCTTATCAAATTTTTAATAAAAAATTTATAAAAATCTATGACTATAACACAATCTTATATAAATTGAAGCCTTATATGTAACACCTTATTTATAAATACTATAAATAATATAGATAATTTAAATAAAAACACAGGGCACAATTAAATATAATTATTAATTAAAAAATTAATACTATAAGCAAACATTAATAATAAAATCACCTTGTACTTTTCCTGCAACGTTAGATGGACCTGCTGTATTTGGACTTGCTGCCTTACCACCTTGTTTCAAAGCCTTCAATTTAGTTAACTCTTTCATTCCAGTCAATTTTTTAACTTTAACATCCTTAATTTCATCTGGTTTAAATAATGTATCTTTAGGAATTTTTTTCTTCTTATTTTCTTTATTTTCTGGTTTGACGTCTTCAGATCCTGGCAAAATTCGTTTAGTAATTTTCTTCATTTTCTTTTCCATTTTATTTTCCGGTAAAGTAATAGGATAAGAAGGTGTCGGAGATTCTGAACGGGTTTGCTGAGGTGTTCTTGATTCTGGCAGTTTTCCTTCTCTCGCAGTAGACAAAAAGCCTGATGTTGTCATTATAACACTGTGTATCTCACGAAGAGGACGACCTTCTTCTGTGGTTTTTACTCGTTTTACAGCAGATCCATCAAAAGAAACAGGATCTCCTGGTCGTTTGAACACAGCTGGAGGAGTTGACTTAATTATATTATCTTCACTTGAAACTCCATTTATTGCAATTATATTAGTCACCTCATTAGAATCATCTTCAGAAATATTCATTGGCTCACTTACTGTAGATGTATGTATATTTTCTACTTGTTTAAATTCTGGTAAATATTCTTCTATAAAATGTAAGAAGTTCAAAATTATTTAATATATACAAGTTATTTTGTAATAAATACCTTCAGTAGCAGGATACATTGCAGGCAAATGTTCATGGACATGCACAGATCTTGTAACCACTTCTCTACTACCTGGTTTTAAAAAATTAAGATGACTTTCCTTATGAATTGGTAATTTTGGTACGGCAACAACACAGGGTACAGAATCAACATTTTTAACATACTCTGCTAACTCTTGCAAATTAATATTCATATGACGAAAAGCTAATCCTAAATCATCTAAGTTAGCATCACTTCTTCCTACTAAAAATTAAACATTGTGAGAAAATTGTAAAAGTAAGACAAGAAATTTGGAAATTAATTTTTTTTAATGTATATAATATCAAAAAGTACATTATGTAATATCATTTCATTTTTAATATAAAAAAAAAATTTGTTAAATTAAAATAAAAATTTATATTTTTATTTATATAAATTGTGTATTTATAAATTTTTATTAACTGCGATATAATTTTTATTGTATTTATAATAATTATAATTATATAAATTAATTTATACTTCATTTGAAATTAATAATAAAATTTATGATAATTTATCTTTAAATTTTAATTCTAAAATATATTCTACTATACTTCTATATTTATACTATGTACTATACTTATAAATTTAAAATTTATTTAGTTCCCATATTAGCTTATTTGATCAAAATCACTTACAAACTTGTGTATATTGTTGAGTAAGTTTTGAAAGTTGAAAAATATATTCTTGCATAAGATCAACCATAAATTCTAATGGGGTAGAATTAATAGAATGCCATCCAATAGTTTGGCAAATCTGAGCTACTACCATTTTTAAAACATTTCTAGAATATTGTGTCGTCATTTTGACAATGTTACCTAAAAAATTATAACATGAATCTGATTATACATTTTTTTAAGCATAAATATAAATAAATCATTAACTTTTAGATATTTATATCATAATAGCAATAAAAATATATATTCTATTTGTATATTTATTAATAATTAATGATATATTAAGCAATTAATTGAAATCTAATATCATTATAATTATGAAACTAATTCAATAATATTAATTTAAAAATTATTCAAATTCAAAGAATAACTGAGCTAAATAATAAACTTTCATTAAATTGAAATATATCAAAACAATTAAACTGTATCAATAAAAAAACATAGTATAAGTATTATATATTTTTTAAGATTTTAATAGTTATCTAAATATTTTATATTAAACAAAATTTATTATAATTATTATTGTACAGATGCTACAAATCAATCAAATAAGACTATAGCTCATTAATACTAATAGTACATATGTACATGAAATCATAACCTATAATTTAAACATTTTTTATGAAAAAAGAAAAAAGCATTAATCTTTAAAATGAAGTGCAATATATTACTTATATAAATAATATTATATAAAAAATAACAGAAATTGATAATTTTTTAATTAAATATATTTTATAATACTCACCTAAAAAGCTTCAAATAGCTATAATATTATCATTTACAAGCTATCCTTGCACAATTTTTAAAAATACTTTTCTAAAATTTTCCATGATGAGGTACACCGTTTACTCGTGCAACATACAAATTCTTTATGAATTAGATAAATAAAATGAAACGTATATTTGACAACCTCCTTCCAAATCAGCGTCTCTGCCATCTTTAAATGTTTTCTTGGACGTTTGGAATGGAACATTATAATAACCCAAAACCTAAGAATATTAAAGAGAGCACACCATACCATTATTTACATATATTTTAACGGAAACCGCTGATAAATGGATACACAAAATGAAAAAGAAGTACACACACACACACATATATATATATATATATATATATATATATATATATATATATGCAACTAAAATTTTAAATCTTTAAGCCTTTGTGTACGAGTAGAATATGAATTTATTGTCTAGAAATTAAAAATTAAAATAAAATACTGACATTCTATGAATTTGTTATAAATGTTTAATAAATAATACCAAATACAAATATAAAATTTACTTAATAAGCCTCTAGGTCATGTGCCACAAATTTTATCATCATTTAGTTATACTTTAGATTTGAGTATAAATTCAAAGGAAAAAAAATCGATGTTAATATTGTGAAATGTAACTATAATAAAACTCAAGTGAAGTAAATAAAATCAAACTAATACAAGAAATTATATTAATTATTATGAATGAATAAAAATTGGTTGTATAAATGATAAAACATTTACTTTCTAACATTCTGTAGTTAAGAGTTTGTATAAGAATTTTGTATGCCCCAAAAACTGGTGTTTTAAAAGCATTGGAGACCATAATTGCAAGACATTTAAATCTAAAAATTACATTCCTAAATAATTGTAGTTAAATGAAATCCAACTTTTTGATTATATGGCGCATAATAATAAGAAAAATTTATTAAAATAAAATCTTTGGAAAATTGAATTGTTTTTATTGATAAACTGTAATCTTTAAGATTATATTTAATACTCAATTTTTTTAATATAGTAAATACAAATTTTATAATTTACAAGATTTTTCTTTTAGTGTGTGCAAATTAATACACCTTATAAATATAAGGAAGATTTTTATTCTCTATAATTAATTAATATGTTGCCAGTAAACCAATGTAATTAAAATTTTTCATATGGCCTTTTCTCGACATATGGTACGACAGCCTATCAATTATTTTCTATACATATTTTATTATTTTTTCTAGTATTGGCAGCAATAAAGTTTTTAAACAAATTATTAATACATAGAAAATAAGATATAAATTCTTAAAATAATTAGTCTTATACTATTCAAACTATAACGGACAAAGTATGATATACACGTGTAATATTTACATATTATCGAAGAAATTTGTGATTAATTTTTTGAAATCACATTTATCATACTGATACAATTGATATTAAAATATGCATATATAAAATATTTAGTATTTTTATTGACTGTTTTAAATTTTTTGGAATGCTTGTCTGGATTCTTTTAAATCGCGCGCTTATTAGAGAAACATACGAATGCATAAGTATAATTACTACTAAATAATGCATAATAATTCAAATAATTAAAATTATTACGTACGGTAGAAAAAATCGCATATGCTATATATTTACAGCTATATAACATACAAATTTAAGTTTTCACTTAAATTGAATTAAAGACTTAAAATCTTTTACTCCAATCATAAATGTTCTAAATACGACTAGACTCCAAATAACATCAATCAAATAACAAACCTTTAATTTGTGATCTATGTACAACTCATAGCTTATAAAGAAAAAAGATGATATAAATATAAGTTACCCGCATTCTACATAAGAAGACAAAACATTATGAGCTGATGTTAATACACAATTTTTTTTACCTAAGTACACTGACGTAAGATGTAGTACTAACTCATAAATAAAGGTTAGAGAATGAAATATTTATATCTATTAATTAAATAATCCTAAATCTGTGTATATGAATAGTTTTTCATACCTTAATTATTTAATATCATTAACAGCAATTATACCATAAGAAAAGAGATTTTATGTAACAGATTAATAAACAGAAAAACAAGACGCTATGGCTACAGAGAAGCTGAATCAAAATAAAAAGAGAACTATACAAAAGGAGGATCAGATCCAAGCCAAACGTGCCAAAAAAAAGAATGATACCTCCTCGTTTGCTGATGACGAGGTACATGAATTTAAAAAAAAATTTCTTGGATCAATATCAAATATTTATTCAAATTTTCAATAAAAATAAAATTTAAATTATTAATTACAACGGTAAATTTATATTTCTACTAAAAATTTATAAAAATTACTCGTATATGATTTTCTTTATATAGTAATTTTTATTTCATGAATGTTAGACTTTTTAAAATTAATTTTTATACTAATTAATACTAATTGTAGTTGTTTTATAATTTATAAGAAAATAATAAATATCTTATTTTATTTATATATAATAATTACAAGTAGCCTCAAATAATTTTTAATAGAATTGCTTGCTTTCTAAATATGTATGTTTTAAATTAAAAATACAAATAAATAATAATTAAATTAAAAGTATATAATAATTAAATAATGATCTTTATATATATATATTCATTATTAAAATTGATAAATAAAAATATTTGTATAAATTTTAATTCTAACAAGTGTTCAGGCAACAAAAAATATTAAGACTATATATAATTTATATAGTATTGAAAAATTTATAATATTCTTTTAAGCAAAATGTTTTATTAAAGCAAGTTGCAGGAAAAATCACACGTATATTTATGAAGAATTTTATGTGTCATGATGCAATGGAAGTAAATCTTAATCACAGAGTAAACTTTATTGTTGGAGTTAATGGTAGTGGAAAAAGTGCGATACTTACCGCTTTAACTATAGGGTTGGGTGCAAGAGCCAAAGCAACTGATAGAGGGCCGTCAATTAAAGGCAATAACTTTATATATTGAATGATAATTGAATTACTAAACTACATTTTTGTATTAAAAATAACTGTTACATTTGTGTTTTTAGAATTTATTAAAAAAGGAAAAAACTCTGGAATGATACAAATTACAATTTCAAATGATGGTCCCATGGCTTATAAGTATGAAACTTATGGAAATTCTATTACAATAATTCGTCATATAAATACAAATTCTTCTTATAAAATTAAAAATTGGAAAGGTATAAAAATTCTAAAATAATTCAAAAATTATCTTTTCTTAATTTTTTTTTCAGTATATATTTATATATTTTTTATTCAATGTGTAATATTTATGTACATAATTTTTTTATATAAACATTTTTTGCATAATTACATTTTATACAGATTAACAGAAATTATCTTTTAAGCTTTTATTAAAAAATTAACCTAAATAGCTAATATTAATAAAACTAATAATACCAAAGAGAAACTATTTGCATTTAAAGTATTATATGTTATTAGAAATATAAAATTATAATGTAATTTTGAATGAAAAATAAATATAATATACTGAAGAATTTAAATATATCGACTTCAGAAGTAGAATTTCACTAAAAAAGTTAATAGAAATATAAAACAAATATGAAGTGAAATAAAAATGTATAATTTTCCTTAAAAACTTTTGATATATATTTACAATTACAGTTATATTTAATATTTCTATACATATATACCTATATACAAAAGTATATGTATTTTATATTTTTCTTTCAGGTGATTTAATTTCTACAAAAAAGGAAGAATTACATAATATTGTTAACTTTTTAAATATTCAAGTAGATAATCCGATCTCAGTATTAAATCAAGATGTATCCAGATCATTTTTAGTAACTGCTGAATCTCAAGATAAATATAAATTATTCATGAGAGCTACTAGATTAGATATTATTGGTAATAATTATAAAGAGGCTATAATATCCAGTGAAAATGCTCGATTGCGTTTACAAGAAGCTCAAAAATATCTGAATGAAAATAGAAAAGAAATAACTGAACTTAAAAAAAAATTAAAAGCACTTGAATCCTTAGAAGATATAAAAAAAGAATATGAAAATCTTCAGAAAGAACTGCATTGGGCAACAGTAAATTAAATTTATTATTTAATAATTTATAATTCTGAATAATAACTATAATACATTATAGGTTATTCAAGAAGAGAATATTTTACTGCAAATAAATACTAGATTAAAGGATGAAGAAGATAATATTAAAAAATTCGAAAATCTTGAATCCACAAAAATAACAAAAGAACAAGAAATAAATTTAAAAATTGAGTATGAAATTTGAATATATAATTTTAATTGATATCCAAAATTGTATTTTAATTTAAACATACATTTATAGAGATCTGAAGAAAGAAATAAGGAAATTTGAAAACGAAGCATCAGATAGTAATGTAAGATTAAACGATATAAAAATAGATCACTTAAAAGCTAAGAAAACTTACGATGAAAAAAAAGAAAATATAAGAATTTTTCATGCTAGCATAAAAAGAAAAGAAAATGATATAATTACTTTACAAAATGAAATTAAAAAATTAGAAAGGTATTTTTATATTCCTTTATTAACATAAAAAATTAATCATTATCGGATAAATTATACTATCAATTTTAGAGAAAATAGTGCCGCCGGAGATAAAAAACAAGAAGCAAAACAAAAAATGAATGAAAGTGAACAACAACTCGATGAGGTAGAAGCAATGTTAAGGACAAAACAAACTGATCTTATGCATTTAGAAGAAAATAAAAGACGCATTGAACAAAAGGGGCAAAAATTTAGAATTGAAATTGAACAAAAACGGAGTGCACTTTGTATGTAATATTTGTTGCATGAATATTAATTTATTATATTTAATTATATTAATTTATTATAAATATTATAAATATATCTATTAATTTCTTTGAATATTAAATATCTTCGTTATATATTAAATTACTACAGATAAACTTAAGCAGAGGTTAAATGCTTTTAAAAATCAACCTAATGATGAATTCACTATTTACGGTCCAAATATGCCGCGTCTTCTTGCAAGAATTGAAGAAGCACATACTAGAGGAAAATTCAAACAAAAACCTCTTGGTCCACTTGGTAAATAATACTTTCTATATTTTATAATAGTACTGCTTTCAAACGATTAAATATTTGTTGTTTATAGGCTCATTTATTAAATTGAAAGATTCTAGTTGGATTCCAGCTATAGAAAATTATTTAGGATTTGGAACAATAACTGCATTTTGTGTAGATAATAGTCAGGATGGACAAATTTTAAATAGAATAATAAAAGAAGTATTTCAAACTGAACGTCCACCACAAATAATAATTAGTAAATTTTTTGATCATGTAAGTAATATAGCTTTCATTAATATAAATATATTTATGAAATATTTATCCTAATTGAACTACTAAAGTATAATAAATCACTAAAAACATGGTTACTTGCTATACTCAAAAATTCATATACACTTGTATACATTTAGAAATTTATTAGTAATCATATAAATAATTATAATTATTTTATTATAAAAAATAATAGATGCACAATGTAGAAGATGGTTGCACTAATTCACCAAAGTACTCGAACCTTTTAGATGCTATGGAAATATCTCACCCAGTAATTGCAAACTCTTTAATTGATCAAAGAGAAATTGAATGCATACTGTTAATACCTACATCGAATGAAGCATGTACTGTGATGTCAAATGTCATTAAAGTTCCACAAAACTGTAAACGAGCAATCACAAAGAATTCAGATTTATTTTATCCTGATCCAAATTATCGAATTTACGGTGGCAGTGTTTCTAAAGCAAAATATTTACAAGTATCAACAAATGAAGCCATACAGTAAGTTATTTAATAACAAAATAATATTTTTTATTTATTTTTTTTTTTTATGAAATATGTACTGGTTTTTATGTAATAAATTGCCATTCATATAAATAATTACAAATTTTTAATTAAAATAATTGCTATTCTATTTTATACTTAATTTTCATTATTTAACAGATCTTTGCAAGAAGAAATAGGTATTGTGGAAAATGAATTAAAAATGATTCAAAATACATTTAATGATGTTCATGAATCTATGAAAACTAATCAAATAGAGCTGCAAGAAGTTCAACATAAAGTAAAAACATTATTGCATCAACAACAACAACTGAAAAGCAAAATAGAAGAATTCAAAGAAATATACGAAACTTGTAATAATAATACTATAAATACTTTTGTAAGTAATATTGGTTTAAAGATTAAATATTAATTTTATGAAATGAATTGGATACAAAATAAAATAGTTTAATTAATAAAATAAAGGAATAATAAATAATTTTAAATAATGTTTTAATATAGTATTTTTTTTCAAATATAGAAAAAATTAAATTTATATATAGTTGTATTCTTTTGTAAAGGAATAAAATAATTTTTTACCAATTTTAGGTAAATTTGTTAAAAGAAAGATGACTTAATTACATTATAAAGGCTAAATAATTAATTTTTAGTACAAGATTTGAAACATGAGAAAATGGTATTTATTAAACTATTTTTACTCAAAAGTACAATTGAAATTTAAAGAATAAAGAATTGACTGTATCTATTAAATAAAATGATTAATTAATATTAACATTGTAACTGTAATTCTATTGCATTCATTAAATTCATAATTTCAGTTCAATATAACAGCAGTTTAATAGAACTTATATCAATTATTTACAATTCATTTAATTACATATTCAATTTTTACATTTTCAATACTTTTTTTATAATAAAAAAAATTTTTTAAAAAATATACTTTTTCTGATAAAATAGTTATTAGTATTTTTAACAAGAAATATTTTGATAGATAGCCGAAGTTGAAGAACTTCAAAGACAAGTTGTACAAAAAAAGGAACAAGAAAGCCATATGATAACAGAATTTCGTGAATCTAAAACAAATTTCGAAACAATAACTTCTGAATTGAAAAATCTTCGCGATCTTGCGCAAAATCTAGATACAAAATTGAATCCAATTAAGGTAAGAAGCTGATTTTTTATATAAAAATATTTTGTAAATTTATATTTAAAATTTATTTCTGCTTTTTTATTAGGAAAAAATAAAAGAATTAGAATATGAAAAAAGTAGATTAAGTGTTTCCAATCAAGGTGCAACAAGAAGAATGAAAGAAGCTCAGCAATCTCTGCAAAAATTACATTGTGAACAGCAACAACAAGAACGAGTTGTTAACTCAAAAATTGAAATAGCTGAAAAAATTTGCCTCAGAGTAAATACACAGAAGTATGCATGTTTAGTGTTGTATAATAATCTATAAAACCAATTATAAATACCTTAAACATTAAAATGATCATAATTGAATACTTTATATTGTATAATATAAACTTTGAATATTCTAAGAATAGTTCACTTCTTATTATAATAATACAAGTCAATTTGCTAATTCATTACTTATATAATTTGTATTTAAATTAAAAATTATATTTAATTTAAAATTTATTAATCAGTAAAATATTCAAAAATAACTTCTATTTAAATGATCTATTTAATAATCTGTTTATAATCTTATTTAGTTGTTTAATGTACATAAACATTAAAATAATGCATAAAATTATTTTTAATCGCAAAGGACTATTTCTGAAATAAATACTCGAACTAAAGAGTTAAAACTAACAATTGAAACCATAGAAAAGCAGCATGGAACAAAAGATGTTTTAAGTAAAAAATTACAGGAAAAGGAAGAAAAGTATGAAGGTGTTCATGAATTTGCTATAGAACTTACTACGAGTAATGATGTAAGTTATTCATTTTAATATTAATTCTAATTAAATTATATACAATGAAAATAATGTTAGGATATGGTTTGAAAAATGTGTTTGTTTTTTATTAAATTTTATTTAATTTTAGAGACAGCTCGAACGGCTAAGAAATCGTAAATTATTTTATAACGAAATGAAAAAACAAATTGGTGAACGAGTACAACAGTCTTTCGTGAATGTATTATCTCTCAGAAATTATAAAGGACAAATAACGATAGATCATCAAAAACGAGAACTACTTTTAGAAGTATCTCCTGTTAATGATGTTAAACGATCAACGAATGATGCTAAAGCCTTATCAGGTGGTGAACGATCATATTCTACCGTAGCTTTCATATTGGCCTTGTGGGATAGTACTGGATTACCATTTTATTTTTTAGATGAATTTGACGTCTTTATGGTAAATAAAATTATTTATAATTAAACGAAAATTAAAATTGAAATAATCCGTGTTTAGTGAGAAATATATTTTAATATTCGTTTGATAAATCAAAAAATATGAATTAAATATGTTATCTATATTTATATCACTATTTTATATTTATATTAAAAAATATTAATATATGATGACATATTATTTCCAATATCAATTTTATAATTTCAAAAACTTTTTCTATTGTATGTATTCTTCAGATTGATAGCTATTCATAAGTATTTCATATTATTTCATTCATAGTATTATACATAAGTATTCATATATATTTATAAGTTATAAGCAACTACTTAGATATAATAAATTAAAAATCTCAATTTCCATATGTATAACATTTTGAAACATTTTCGTTTTAGTCTATACATAATTTATTATATTAAAATATTTGTATCCATATTATTTAAATGAATTCAATTTAAATAAATCAACAATACATAAATTGATATTTTATAAAATATTTTGCTATAATTATATAGAAAACGCTCTTATAATTTTAACTCTTATTGTAATCTATAATTCTTTGTTACAGTAATTAAAGTTAATTATATATTTATTTTTCAGGACAAAATAAATCGACGAATGATTATGGACATCCTTTTAGGTCATGCACAATCTCATCCGCAAAGTCAGTTTGCATTCTTAACTCCTTTAGATACTTCACATATTGTAGCAGATGATAAAATTACTATTCATCGGTATACAAATGATCTTTTTTATAAGAATAATTTATTATTTTAATCTTTAATATTTCAAATTGATTATTATTACAGATTAGCACCTCCAGAGAGATCTACATAAAAGTATTAAGTTAAACTACTTTTAAGATTTTTTCTTATAAAAGTTTAGTTTTAAAATCTAATTTATTTCAAAATACTCAATACTTTATTTCTTTAAATTTTAAATAATTTAAAAATTTGTATACATAATATGCCTAGCTGATGCCTTTTTTAATAAATATCAATAATCATTATTTTTAATGAAACATGCCACTATATTTTATTTTATTATACTGTATTCCTTGATAAATTGAAGAAATGCTATTTTAATTTTATATATAATAATATTTGAAAAATATTAAAAAATATTTGAATATTATAGAAGTCATTTATTTTTCAAAAATTATACATACGTTTATATATTAATTATTTTATAATTTAGAAAACATTTTTTTTTTTAATATCGACTTTCGTATATAATTATGTATTAGATCGCAATTATTAAAAAAAAAAATATATATATATATATATATATATATATATATATATATATAAATCAATTTGTGTTGAAATTTCATTTGCAAATTTGGAAAAGAATCTTTAATTAAGTTTTACAATATTCATTCTTTTATAGTAGTTCACAATAACAATCAATAATACTTAGCTTTTTTATTTAAAATTAATATCATAAAATCAGGTTTGCTTTATATAAATAAAAATTCAAAAATAATAGTTATTATCTACAAAAAAGAATACAACCACTTAATTGCTAAAGTAAAATCAAACAAAAAATTATAAAATATTTATATTATATTAAATAAAAAAAACACATCTTTTTAGTGTCATTTAAATTGGATACATTTTTTAAAAGAAAGTTCAATTCATATAATTACTCATTTTAATAAAATGGATGCATACAAGGGCTTTAATTTTATATTTTATTACATTTAAAAGACGCGCGCTTTTTAACGCACTTTACATTAAAAATTAAAAAATCGTATCTAATTTATATTCTTTTTAGTATGCCTGTGGAGCAACCACTAGCACATAAACTCAAAATATGGGTGGAATATGCCACAGCTTGGATACCTATTTAGTATTGACATTTATAATTTATTATTTTATAAATTTGTATTAACTAAGAATTTAAACTTATATATGACACGCCCCCATTTGCATATGAAGGTTATATTACAGTATATTTTACTTAAATACGTTTTAAAATATTTTGTTCACAATTGAAATAGTATGAATAAACTATATGAATATGATTGGAAAAACTAAACCGTTTAAATAAAAGAAAAATGCAGTTTAATACTAATGATACTTCTAAAAGAAGATTTGAAATTGAATGTAAACTTGAAGCTGAACTAGCATCGTTGGAAACTTTAAAAGAAGCAGAAGATAATAGTAAAAAATTAACTAACAACATGGTAGCTATACTTTCTTCTTTAGAAGATAGATTAGCTACATTACGCCGTACTATACTACCAGTATATAATGAAACTGGCAATCTTCAAAATCAACAACATAGTAAGTTTATTATATCTGTACTTTTGAAAGTATTTTTAATCTCAATAATAAAATTTATAGATATTGAAAGAACACTAACAGTATTAGACCATGCTATTGGATATTACGGAGTTTGTCAAGAAGTAGAAAGTTCAGTACGTGGTGGACCTAATGGAACAGGCGGTTTAGATGGATTTCTGGAGGCTATGAATCGTCTTTACAATGCTCAACGATATTTTCAAAAAAATAATCCTAGTTCCGTAGAATTAGAAAATGTTTCAACGCTTTTTGAAATAGGTCTTGAATCTCTATATGCAGAGTTTCATGATATTTTAGCAAGACAAAGTAAACCAGTATTACCCATAGTTCTTTTAGATTTGATAGGTTTAGATGAAGACACAAGCAATGAAGATGCTCCACAATCCTTATGTCAATTATCGGAAAGTACACTAGCAGATTTAATTATGATATCAGGATGGTTAGAAGAAAGAGGACATCGAAGACATGCAAAATTATATGCTTCTGTTCGTTCCACAATTGTTCTCCGTTCTTTACAATTGATGAAAGAACATCAGAGAAGTGCAAGTGGAGGAAGTACACATGCTGCTAGTCCTATGCCAGTAAATGATTATATTAGATATGATTTTCTTATTTTCATATTTCACTTTAAAAATTATTAAAATAATCTATATTTCATAAGAACTCCTATTAACTATCAACAAAATATAAGACGAAAACAAATAATACCATTAAATTGAAATTTGAAAAATAAAAATACTTTATTTCAAGTTTAAAGTATGGAGTAAAAACTATGACTGTACCTAACAACCAAAAAATCATCAAAACCAAAACAATAATTTTTATTTATTATTTGTTAATTAATCACTCATTATCATTCGCAGTTTTAAATTCAAATAAAAGGAAAAATCTATGAAATATTGCTGAATCGAACAATTTTAATATTTATGATATTAATAAAATTGTTTGCATTTTATTTTAATGAAATTATTAACTTAGCGTCATTTTTTAACGGTTAATAAATTGTTCAAGATGAAAAAACGGCAGGAATTTTTGATAATAACTTTAAAATAACGCAAAAACGGATGATTATAAAATTAATATATGCCTTGATAATTCGATTAGAGAACGAAATTCGCACACCGCCACTCTCTGGGTGTATCTGATACAACCAGTCGACGGACATCGCGTCGATTGCAACTTGCTCTCGAAAAGAAAGCAAGCAAAATGCTGCTAAAAGCATCCCAGACAACGGGATTGTCCTTTCCCACATCAAGAAAGCCGACCACCAGCCCCTCGAGTCATTCAACTGAGGACTCTGCCCCAGATGAGCAGGAAATGGATAATTATTTATTGTTAGCTGCAAGCTTGCACAAGCTCATGCAAGCCGAACGCACACTTATCGGCCGAATTTTACCTACATCGTTACAACTACAAGTGCTTGAGGCAACGGTCCGCGATGCCATGGATCTTGTCGCACACGATGGTGAAAATATTGCCGCAAGAGCCAAAAGATGCATTACCAAACGTGACTTCTCGGCCGTTCTCGTTGTTTTCCCCATTTTGAAGCATCTAGAGGAACTCAAGCCGGATCTCGAGAGGACTGTCGAAGGCTGCGAGTACGCACTCAGATCTAAATTTGCATCAGTTATTCAGACACTCACCGACACAGTAAGATATATCCAAGAATATATTAATTTAAAAATAAGACTTTTTACGTTTAATTCGATTTTTATTCCTATTTGGATTATTATTCAATTTATTAGTTATTTTAACAAGATTTCATTATAAATATGAATATTTCTGAAATAGATGTCGTAAAACATTTTTAAATGAACCCACAAAAGATAACTAAATTGATTTAATTAATATTATTTTTAATTATTTAAAACTAATTATAAACATAAAATTCTATCAATAATACCGAAGAAATTTTGTTTTTTTTTTTTTTAAATTGAGAATTATTTAAAGTTTTATAATTAAAATAAATTTATAATTGAAACGATTTTTATTAATATATTGTTACCATTAAATTATTTATTTAGTTAAGTCGTTAAAAACGTTTCATATTGTTGAAAAAAATCTTACTAAGGCTATGATAAAAGTAATGCTTATTTACACAGGAGAATATCGTTGTTAATCACAAAAATTATATATTTTTGTAAAAAAGTAAGTATTATAAATTAAATATAGCAGTGCTATCAGTGAATGAACACATCGATGCATAGACAGAATGATAAAAAAATGTAATGTATTTTTAAGCTATATATAAATATTTGTGTTAAAATTATAATTATAAATTAAATAATATAAAAATAAAAAATTTTCAATTTGATAATAAATTTTCAAATTTCAAATTTCTTTTAAATTCAAATTGAAAAATGATTTTACTCCATATGTAGTAATAAATACGTATATGGCCTAATACATATGCCTATACATGTTATTATTCTTCGCATCATATAAATTTTATATCAATATTCTAAGATTTTAATAATTAGGACGATATTAATCGTTTCATTTAGGGTGCTCAAGCTTTAGAATGTTTTGGAGAAAATGTACGAAATGAATCTGGTGCAATTTTGCCTAAAGATGGAACTGTCGCAGAAAGCACAAGCAATGTACTTGTTTTTCTTGAACAACTAACGGAATATGCAGATACAGTAGGTATTGTTCTTAAACGTCACAGTGACACTGATTCCACTAATGCTACAAGTACTAAACATTCTGAAGGGCAACATAGAATTGCTTTAGGTCTTTATACAAGTAAGTATTTTATTTTTTATAATCATTATAAATTTATATAAATATTAATTTTTTTTTAAGTAAAAAGAATCATCTAATTAAACTGAAATTACCGAAAATGTATCTAAATTGTAAAAATTTGAAATCCAATATTATTAAATATATACATTGAAAAATAATATTCCTTTTAAAATAATAAAATTTTGTTATATTAATAACATTGTTAGATTTAATTTTAAAATTCAGAAGATGAAATCATAGTTTGTAAAAATTTGATTTATTATTACATATAAATCTTTCACAAACTCGTCAAGATATGAATTTACTATTTTTAAATTTTAGGTACATATTTGATAATAGAATATTAAGGATTTTTAGAAAAATTAGTATAGTATAATTTCATCAATACCTAAAAATGTTTGAATATTTTTTCAAACTTATTAAGTATTATTTATTTTATTAACTCCATGTTACATACCAGCTAACTTTATTTTGTTTTAATATATTTCTCATGTACATTGATTCTAATATTCATAGCTTGTCATATATACATATTTGCTTTAATATTATATAAATATAGAAATTCACATTACTAAAATTCCCGAATCCATATATATATGAACATATAACTTATTTATTTTTAATAAAAACTTGTTTATTAGCAAATTATAATTATAGAATTTTATTAATAATTTTCATGGAAATAAGTATTAAGAGTGGTACTGTTATATCTTCAACAATCAATTATCAACTATTTGGAATTAAAATATCAAATAGCTATTATTTTCTTAACTAAATTCGAGTCTAAATGTTATATAAAAAAAAAAAAAAAACATGTTTAGAAAATTATTTATAATATAAAATTTGTAATATTTGTATTTTAAAGGATATTCTCCCCCGTAATATTTTTTCGATCTATTTGAAAACTCTTCGATAATTCTGAAAACAATTATGATTTATATAAAGTATATTTAAAATATCGATGCAATATTTTATTATCAGTTGAAATTGTTAAAAATAAATCATTTGTCTAATAATATTATTATAGAGAGAGTGCTAGCCCTTCTAAATCTGGCACTTGTGAGTAAAAGCGACACGTCTTATTCCGATCCAGCGCTTCGTGCTTTATTCCGTTTGAATAATCACAATTATGTGATTAATGCTTTGAGAAGAAGCTCTCTTATGGAATTACTTTTATTAGCCGAACCAACCGCTGAACAGACGTATCAAGATTTACTTGCACGCGATCGAGCAAATTATGTTACCTCCACCTTTGCTAAAACTCGTAGTCATATTGAAAATCACAATGACGAACCAGGTTTGTTTAGTTTGCTTGACCCTTACCTTTTGGTATATATAAATTATAAATATAAATTCCAATTTTTTAAATATTTTAAAACTTAATATTAAGGCTGCTAGATTGTGTTAATTTCTTAAAAATAAATAAATGATATATATTGATTTTTTCCATTAAGTACAAGAAGTATTGGTATATATTTTGTATAATAATCTATCGTATTATTTACATATAATACATCAAAATTAAACCAATTTCTAACAATATATTAGATTTTAAAATTATTTAAATTTATTACTTGATAGCACCCAATAGCTTCACTTTATTGCATATATAAATTTTAATTTTTTCAAATTCTTACGTAACTATATACACATACATAAATTATTGTTTAATAAGAGCGAAAATTAAGAAGTATAAGCAAATTTTTAGATAAATCGTGTACTATTAAAAATTTTATATTAATAATATAAAACTATAATAATAAATGTATCATAGGAATGAAGGTTCTAAAGGAACGGTTTTCTGGTTTCACACGAGAATTCGATGAGGCCGCAAAATTCCATCGAAGCTATGCTGTACCAGATGCGCGTATGCGTGAAGAATTACGCAAAGAATTGCGTCAATCTATCGTCCCGACATATACAACTTTCTATCACAAGTATAAAAACACCTCGTTTTCTAAAAATCCAGCTAAATACGTCAAATACAGTCCTGAGCAAGTATCTACTGCTATCGACACATTTTTCGATACAGCTGCTTAAACCCTAAGGCGATGGCAAATTAAGAGCCACCAAACTACTACAACAGAAAAATATAACGCGTTATTTCTTTTCAATTCTTAATGTTTTTCTATATACATTACCATTAAATCCTACATCAATCCTTCTTAATTTAAGATTCATTTATTACAGTTATATATTTGAAATTTTCAGTTTTAAGATGCAACAATATAAGAACTATCAGTTTATATGTATTATAACATTTGTTAATAAATGTAATAAATTGGTTTCCATTTTTATAACAAAATTAGTACATAAGTATGAAAGAAATACTTTATTTCTTTGTTTAAGTAATTTATTCTTTTTTGTAGAAATTAGGTTTAAAATGTATATAAAATGTGTAAAATCATATTAATAAATATTTTTAATTAAATATAGTTTGATATGGATGTATTAATATGCATATATATATATATATATATATATATATATATATATGGATACTCATTAGTTTAATATAATAGTTTTACTTAAAATTTATTTTATAAAATGTACCCGAGGAATACAAAATATTACTCAATATCAATGATTTAGTAAACACCCATTTAATAAAGCAAATTTTATTACAATATCTATTGTTTTGTAATTAGACTGAAACAAGTATATTTCACTGCATGTATTTAGACATATAGTGACAAATTACACATAAAACTTGTGTAAGCTACACATTACATTAAACATTCCAGTCCAGTCTTTTCATATATATACCTTTAAATATATATTTAAATTAAAAAAAACAATTAACGTTTCCATCTAAATTCAGTTAGTAGAGTAATAATGTATAGCCAATGTTTAAACTCCAATAATTATTTACAATTAGTTTTTATCGCTCTAGTTGTTCCTCTTTATTCTTCATTTGATTCTCGCAAACGCATACTTTTATTCACGCAATCATTCAAAGCTTTTTCTTCTTTATTGTATATTTTAAAAAGTACACCCTTCTTAAAGTGTTTTATTTCAAGATATCTACTTTTCATTACATATTCTTCCTTTGTTATTAATCGTCTTCACGAATTGCAAACGAATGGTATTGATATTGTGCGTATGAATCACAGGCGTTATATCAAAGTAATAATTAAAATTTATGAGAGGAGAACTGAGTAGAGCTATTGTCACATATGCACTAATGCTTATTTTTGTTCATTCACTCTTTCGATTCGCGTATCTTAAATCTATCCTAGAAATTACACAGTCAACTTACATAGTCGTCTATTTTAGAGCATAAATGTATATGTATAATTTGTTTACCATTCAAAGATATTCAATAATAATTATTATTAATATACTCTAGTATACTGTACATAATCGCATTATATTCTGGCGCTCTTTTTCACAATTTTTCTATAATTGATCATTCTTCTTGCATGAGAATGAAACTTCAATAGTAACGGAGATGAAGAGTGTGAATTTAACCCTTTACCATTTTACATATCCACTGGAAATACTGAAGCTGTCAGCAAAGAAGTCTTCTTTCCTCCCCTTCTTTCTTACCCTTGTTCACTTAATTTCTGCTTCTATTACTTCAGTTATTCTTTTTTTATTTTTTAAATAAATGTTATGAGAACAGTTATTACTTTTGTGCAATTTAATTCACAAACGTCTGTACTTTCAAGGGATTCAAGAAGGATGACGCTATCATACATCTTCCAGCGAGAATGTGCAGTAACGAAACAACTTAATATTATAGAATGCAACATCTACGTTTTGGCTTTACCTGCAGAGCAGGACAAAGAACTGCACGGATTGCTTCATCAAACACTGTTTTAAGTCCTTTTTGTGTTAAAGCAGAGCATTCTAAATATTTCACTGATCCAATTTCTTTTGCCATTGTAAGACCCTGAATTAAAAAAAGATTTATTATTAAAAAATGACCAATTAAGTGTAGTAACTGTACAATGTATAAAAATAACAGTGAATGGAAAAATGAAAATATATATTTATTAATAAAATTAATTCAAACTAAAAACTTTTTAAAACTAAAAAAAATTAGAATGAAAAAAATATATAACATTTTTTATCTACAATTTCGAATTTAAATCATACATTCTGAAAATAATGTATTCAACATAAATAAAATTCTTCAATTTATCCCAAGAACAAAACGTTATTTAATACTGTATTTTGAAAATTATTTACATTCTAGTAAAAAATTTAATATAGATATATATATTTAAAAGTATTCCTTGTCAAAATATTTATTGTAACTTATTTGATCAGAATATTTATATTAAGTATTTTATAATATAGGAAATATTCATACATTATATTTTGTTATGAATTATAATGTTTAACTAATGATCACATTATTAATAAATTATATATTAAAATAATCAATTAAGCTAGTTTTCATATAATTTTTCTTGTATGTATGTGCATATATATACATCTATGACTATGACTTAGCATTCTGCCTTGCAGTGATCATAAATGAAATTTTAATTACCTGAGGATAAGTAATAGGAGCAAGTTTTTTATCCTTTAATCGCTCAATGGTTTCTTTATCTTCACGTAAGTCAAGCTTAGTTCCAACCAAAATAATGGGAGTTGTTGGGCAATGATGACGTACTTCTGGATACCATTTAGCTCTTACATTTTCAAAACTTGCTGGATTTACAAGTGAAAAGCAAATGAGAAATACATCAGTCTGTGGATATGATAATGGTCGTAGCCTATCATAATCTTCTTGACCAGCTGTATCCCAAAGGCCCAAGTTAATTGGTTTTCCATCAACCATAACATTAGCAGAATAATTATCAAAAACTGTTGGTATATATTCCCCAGGAAATGCATTTGTAGTATAACTAATTAATAAACATGTTTTACCAACAGCTCTATAAAAGAAAATTTTTTATAAATTACTTTATAATAATTAATTTTAATAAAAACAAAAATGAAAAATATATTTAATAATTATATTTAGAATAAAAAAATTAATTATATGTAAAAGTATACAAACACAATCCATAATATATATATATATATATATATATACTTATTGAGACATATATATTATATAGCAGAAATATCATATTACTAGGTTGAAATTTTTTATATTAGAACAATTAAATAAAAGATAATTTAATAATAAAAATATGTATTAATTTTATTAATTATAAAACTTTTAATTTAACTTTAATGTTTTCATTTAACAATGAAAAAGTTGAGATCATTCTTCAAGTTTCTTTAACAAATACTGTAAATATAATAATGCTCCAAAATTCATCTTAATCTCATTTATAACGTTAATTAGTACTTGAATTATTATAATCTTTATGTATAATAAGGATAAATGTTGAAATATATCCTCAATTATAGGCAATAAGAATAATAAAAAGAAGAGGTCAATGGTGTCAGAAATCTTGTGAAGTGTTAGCAATCTCACATACACCACGCCCATGAACGCTTGAAACGCTTGTTGCAAAAAAGATATATTATAAAAAGATCGATAAAATAGATTGAAGAAACGACATTCTTGTATATAATATTTTAACCTCGATCAATGCTAACTAAAAAAAATAAGGGTCCAGTATGTTTGACTTTCTTTCAACACATCCGCGAAAAATTGACGAAGCCACGCTCTTTCTATCTCTCTTTTTCAGTCTTATGTTCACTGTATGCCCTCCTGTTTGAACTTGATACGCTCGTCATCTTCATGACAAATTAACATAGAAAATAGAAGAACTAAACAACACTCACCCGTCACCTACAACGACACACTTGATCGCCTGCATTTTTTTCTTTTCGTGGTACTAAATTTAATTTCTCACTCGCGCGCTCCGCTGATGTCTCATACAGCGACGGAACCTTCACGCGATGATTCCTCTTGTACAACTCTCTCCACTCTCCACTCACTCTCTCTCTCTCTCTCTCTCTCTCTCTCTCTCTCTCTCTTTATCGGCCAAGGAGTGTAAATACACCAACCTACACGTTAATTTGCACTCACTAACTCTCCTTTGTATTCGCTTTTTTATTATTGTTTCATTCTTTAATCAGAATAATGTGGTGTAAATGATCTATCAAATTTACTTGCAAAAGCCCGGAATCAACAAGACTACAAATAACAAATGTAACGGAAAGAACTGGAGAGTGCACAGCAAGTAATGCGTGAGAAAAGGAGGAGAGAGAGAAGGTTGAATACACAGGCCGTGACAAAGCTCATACGAATGTTAAAAGGAGGAAGGGACAGAAGGACAGGCACATGGAATAGTGGAAGTCACGACAAGTCGGAGGAGGAACGACGCCTAATAAAGTCTCTCTCTCGCATAAACATCCTCCGTCTCTTTTTTTCTTACTCAGTTGCGCGCTCTCTCTCTCTCTCTCTCTCTCTCTCTCCCTCTCTCTTGGTCTCGTTTAAGAGGAGAAAAAAAAGTAACAGCGGACTGCATGAACAGTAGAGACTATTTCTTGAGCTTAATGCTCTTGAAACATACGTACTCACAGCAACATAACTAGCGCCTACGGACCCACATATATGACGGCAAATATAGGGAGAGAGCGCGGTAGGAGGTATTATGGCTGATTATAGAAAAACCAATAAGTGGACCCATTTGATTTCCAAAGAAATAACCCTTTTATTGCAGAATATATTATTACTTTATTGATTATTGTAATTTGTAATTACATTACTGCTGCGACAAACCCCCCTTTCATCAAATAATGTATGCAAATATTCATTTTATTTTAATATATTTAAATTCTATGTATTTATGAATTTCGGTGAATTATGAATATTTTTATTTACATATTCATTATAACATGTATAGGATAGTAATTTAAAAATTACGATAATACCTATCTACATTATTACAACGAAACATTTGAAAATGTCTATAAAACTTCTTTTATATTATATTAATTTATTAATATTAGAAGCATAAATACTTACCACTAATATGTTGCTCCTTATAAATTCAATTGTATATTTTATCTTTCTATATTTCAAATATTTAAAATTCATTTCGATTATTAACTCGATTTGATAATATATTATTTTGTTTTATTTTTTAAAATGTTAATTAATTATTTCTTCATACTCCATGAAGAATAATTAACATTAATCAATAAACACGGAAGCGTTTAAAAATTTCTGTCTGATTAAAAATTGTTAAAAACTATTGTAAGTAATTTTAGAGAGATAACTTATCTTAATAATCTGTTAGTAAGCATGGTTTAGTTATATTTTCACTTGATTGTTTTTTTTTCTTCGGAATTTACTTTTATTTTTTAATTTATCATTTTCACTATCTTTCACAAAAATGATTCTATCCATACTCAACAAACTTTTAACTATCAGATTTAATCTTTTTTCTAATATTTTATTAAAAAAATTAATTAAAAAATATAACGGATTAAAAGAACTCTTATTTCATAATTAAAAATGCATGAAATATATGGCATATATTATATATCATATATCATATATACAATTTACATCAAAATACAATAAGCAAATTCCATTAAAATAACGTTGCCAATAAAATTAGATATAATAGTTGAATTGAAGAAGTAAATAACAAGCGTGAATTTTTCAGACAAATTGGCAAGAATAAAACATCAACTTTCAAAATAAAGATAATATCGATGAATATATCATTACACTTAATTAAAGCAATTAAATTAAAAAAAATTAAACCGCTGTAAACCATATTAGTAATAATACTTGTTCAAACATCTAGTGATTGATCAAGAAAAATTAAAACTATTTGAAAAAAATAAAAATAAAATATTTACATGTAATATCTTATTGCATTTCAAAATTCCTGATTATTTATTAAATTTCCAATTCGAATAGATGAAAGAAGAAAAATTCAGCTATACGATTTATAAAATCAAGTAGAAATTACAAAGCAAAAAGAGAAGCATATGATAATATAATAATAAATTTCAATATAATTAATACTATTAATTTCAGTTAAAATTAAAGTAAATGTCTATAAAAATGATACTTTTAGCAAATATCAATCAAATATAAAGAAAAATTATATAATTACCTTTATTACTGAATCATACTTCAATATAAAAATTTACATATTTATAATATGTTTAAAACATAAATAAAAGAAATTTATTTTTGAGTTACGCTATTAAATTTATTTCCAAATATTTAAATGAAAAATAATAATTATGAATCTATAAAATAAATAATTTCAACGTCGTATATTAATATCCACCTATATTTCAACTTTTGAAAGTTATATTCTAAAATTATTATATCATATAAATTCATGTAATTGTCGTTCTTGAAAATTGATTGAATAGTTAAGAAATACTACGAATAATTTAGGAGACTAATTTATTTTGAAAATAATTAGAAAACAGAAAATCAAATTATAGAATTTTGCTTTTGTTTTCTCTAAATTTTTAGTCAATCCTGTGAAAAAAAAAATGAGATCTGTAAATCTTAATATTCAAACATTTTTATGCTCTTAACACATAATTTATTATCTCTATTTCATTTATTTGAAATATTATTTATTTATTCGAGATAATAAACAATATTTTTTATTATATATTAGGAAAACATGAAATATTAAAATATTCTTATTTTTAAACTAAATTTCAAAATAATTATGTTTTAACGAAAAAGTTATAGAATTATGATTTTTTATTATAAATGTTATATAAAATAATTACCAAGCTTTTTATAATAGAAGAATAATATAGAAAGATTGATTTTATTAGCATTTCAAAAATTAATTTTTCCTTTATTATAATTTGAATATAAATTAAAAAATATATTCTATATTTATTAAATAATTTCAAAGATAATGTACAACAATAATAAATAAAACAATAATAAATGTAAACCTTTTACAGGTAAATAAGAAAAATTATACTTGGCCATTATGACGAGCGTATAGATTTAATAAGATTAAATTACATGATATAAATACACTTACAATTCCACACTCTTGTATAAAGTTATCGAACCTTAACAAAAAGTAATAACTTAATATTGCAATAATATCCGATTTTATTTTCATAAATCGTTCATTGATCATTGTAAACTAATATTCATTTACTTTACGAAGTTAGTATTTTAAAATTCATCATTTTGGTTTCTTAATTTTACAATGTTTTTTAAATAACTGTATTAGTTATCTGATAAAAATAATGGAGAAAATTATTTGATTATTAAAAATTGACTATATATATTATAATTTTTATTAAATATGTAACATAACTAAATCAATTAATAATACATGCCTTTATAAATATAAAAATATTTTTAGATTTTTCAATGAAAATATTATCTTTTTATAAATTCATATAGTAAATAAAAAATATTTTAATAAAAATATTATTTATTTATTTTCATGAACATGCCTTCTATGAAATAGTACTAAAAAAATATAAAACATTAGAAAATGTAGTATACGCTACATTAAATACGATCTGTTGAATCTTTTTCAATTTTACCCCATATATCGAACTTCAATTGACTCCCAACTGATCATAATGTTATATTAAGTGAAAATTCATATTTTCAATTATTTAAACAAGATAAAATATTAGCAGTAGATCTATAACAAAAAGATATTTATTATAATGAGAAAAGATAAATAATATCATATAGAAACCTTAATTAGTTATTTTTACATAAAAATAAAAAATTGTATTCAAACGTCCTAATAAAATTGAATGATATTTTTATTGTTGATTAATATATACGTGAGAAGTATTTATAAATATGAAAATACATTGGATGTGTTTATCATCTAAATTTATTATTTAAAAAATTTCGATATTAATTAAAAAATTATATTTAGTTAATTCATTCATTTATTTGAATGCAACATATTGATTATTTAAAAGAACTGTTAAATTTTATTTTAAAATAATTGATATATCTAAATCATTTAGATAGTGATTTAAAATTTACATAAAAAATATTTTACTAATGGCAAATGAGATCATCAGGTTTTTCTTTTTAAATAGGCCAAATTTTCGATAATAATTATTTTAATGACAAACGTACATGAATAATTAATATTATATAATATATTATATAATTTTAGTATAAATTACATTATTAAAACATTACGTATAAACATTAATTTATAATATTCAAATAGTAATTTGTAAATTTGAAAGTCTACTAGTTTTTTATTCAATGATATAAAAAATTTTGCTAATAAGAAAAAATCAATTTCATTTCAAATATAAAGATATCTAAATTCTTTAAACTATCTTTATAAAAAGGTTTTGAAATTTCATATATTTTTTCTCTTTTCTACCTCATACGCTGTGGCTCATTCTACATTAATTGAATAGTTCAATATTTTATCACTAGAACTATAAAAATAAAATTTAAATTGATTTTATTTTATTCTCATAGAATAAGTAGTCTCAGCTTTTACTTTTATTCGCCAACTACTCTTGATGAATAAGATAATATTATATATCAATAATTATTCGATACAATATTATAGTAATAATAATATAAGAAACTGTTATCTTATTCAAGCAATTAATAAAGCTCACTCTTAAAGAGATTCGTTCTTATGTATTTCTTATAACCAATGAAAAGTATGATCTGTATACATTAGTTTACATTTGATAATAATCGTATTATTAATAAATTTAATGTGGCAAAATTGCGTTTGTTCTATAATATTATGAATCGATTTTGCCCGTAGACAGTAACCAATAAATGCATTATACTTCAAAATGTTGAATAAGATATTTCAAAAGTTCAACATTGTAAATATTTACAAAGAGAAGCTATGAACCCAAGGATGGAACAACCAACTATGCCTAGTCATATAAATAAATTTAGATAATGAATTAGACTTTTATACTAGATTTGGATTATATATTCAATATATGTACCAAAATTAAATTAACTCAACATATTGAGAGATTCCTACAAGAAGGTGAATGAGCTATAATGAAATCTGTTTCTATAATAGAAAATAAAATGATTACATTATGGCATCAACAAGTCTTAGCACTGGATACCAAATATAATTCACAAAGGCTTATAAATAATTGCAATTTAGGTAAATTATATTCATTTTTTGTATTCAATATTTTGTATAATCATTGTTTATATAGTTTTCACGAAGTTTATTTTTAGGCACATTTTATATTCGTAGAAGAAGCCAACTGCTTCAAGAAAAGTATTGCAAAGATTTTGAATTACAATCTCGTTATTTGAAGTTGAGATCAGAGCTATTTCGTCGTAGATATGGTAGTAGTGCATATATATTAAATTTACCTACAGATAAATGTTTGGAGATTAAAGAAAAAGGTAGAGTAGCATATAAAAAATCTGCATCTGAAAGTTTTGCAGGAGTTCATCATGTCTTTGATCAGCATTCTGCTGCTATTTCAATGTTGAAATTTGCAAATAATGATAGATCTCGATTTTGTTGTGCCTCGATGGATGGTAGTATTTCAATTTGTGAAGCAACAAGTAATCCACCTAAAGTTGTTTCTTTTCTCCAAGGTCATCGAAAAGGTGTTACAGCAATTGATTGGAGTACTAGTAATGATTTTTTAGTTTCATCATCTTTAGATACTACAGTCAGATTATGGCTGGTACAATCACATTCAAAAGTAAATTGCTTGAGGGTGGTTTATGATCTATTACGCGCAGAAAATTTATGTTGTGCTTTTGCTCCTTCCAATAACAATATAGTTTTAACTGGAAATTCTCGAGGTTTACTGCAGATTTTAAATATATCTACAGGAAAATATACTCGAGGTGGAACTGTTAAAATTGGAGGAAAAGTATGTTTTATTTACAAGTATAATATTAAAATATTTTTAAATATTTTCAAACATCCAATTTAATTTTTAAATAAATTTAAATCAAATGTATATAATATTTTACAAATATAAAAAAAATCATAATTTAGTTAATTATTTTTAATTATAAATTATTAACAAGTATATGCATATATGTTTTATACTTTATTAAAATTATTATTTCAGATTACATCTTTGACATGTGAAGAAAGTGGTGGTTCTCTAGTATGGATAGGAAATGATAGAGGAATCATTGTTTCATTTCGTTTAGAACCTGGCTTAGGACGATTAACCAAATTATGTAGAATAGAAGCTACAGAAGGAATTGTAACTAGTCTCTCTTGGCGTCCTTGGTTATCAAAGGATTTTCCTTGGCCAACACTTTTGGTTAGCAGCGCATGCAATGCTTTGTTTTTATATCGAATAGCGGATGATCAGGGCAATTTGTCACTTTGGAAGAAATATCCAATTAGACACAGGTACATATTAAGATTTGTAAAAATATATGCAATCAATATTTATATTTATTATTAATTTGTATTGAAATTAAAATAATTTTTATAATTTATAATTAAAAAGTGCTAAAATGTAATAAATATTACAAAAATTAATTTACTAGCAACATCGTTTAAATATATATTATATTATTAATTCTAGATTTATTATAACTATGTCATTAATTAATAGAAGTGATGTTTAAAGCATTTCACTAAAATGAATAACTGATCACACAATATAAACACTATTTACAATAAAGTACTATATATTTATTTCTTTAAATTGTTCTTAGAAAAAATGTATCTGTACAAAATTAGTGGTTAGAGTATAAGTTAATTTATATTATAAATAATATAAAAATGTGTTTCAATATTGCTTATTAATTTTTAAATTAGTTTAATTCATTTTTTAAAATCATATAAAACAAAATAAATAATAGATAATTATAGTCGGAAAATATTTCTAAAATTGTTTTAATAAATTATTTTTACACTATTGATTTTAAGTATTCACTTTTATTATTGTATATATAATTTAAACAAAATTTATATATATATTTTTAGGCAACATTTTATTCGATCTACATTTTGTCCCCAAATTGGCAGTTCATTGATTGCTACTGGTTCAGAGGATGGTTCGATACATTTATTGGATTCAGTAAGAGATGGAAAATCCGCTCAAGTAAATAGATTACTCGGTCATTCTGCACCAACATTAACATTGTGTTTTAATTATGATGAATCTCTTTTAGCATCAGGAGACCATCACGGTCTTATTATTCTTTGGCGTAATTATCAATGTCAAACATAAAATATTTTATAATATAATATATAAAAGTTTTTATATTGTTCTGTAAATATATATACATGAATGTTACTAATTTCAATACTAATATATGTATACATATTATATTTTACTAAATAAATAATTATTAATTATAACTAAATATATTACTATCGAAATTAGCAATATTTTAAAAATAAAAATATTCAATATATTAATTATATGAAGTTTATTATATAAATTATTTTTATTTTAATTGGAATATGAAAAATGTAGATAATGTATTAATAATGTTTCTAAATAAAAAACGTTTTAAAGTTTTTTTTACAAATCTTTTATATCAGCAGTACATCAAATATTTATTGCAAATTATAGAAATATCTGAAAAAAGTGTAGATTTAATTTTCAATAGGCATAAAAAACTACTCAATTATAACTATAATTTACATACAAGAAAAAATTGGGGAGTTATTTAGAATAGAAATTTAATTTAAAATATTTATAATTAAAAAAAATCAATTTAATATAATTAGTTAAAAAAAATATCAAAAGTTATTAAATTTTCTTATAACATTAAACACTCAATTTATTTGTACTGTTCTTTTCATAGTTCAAAGGCATTAGAATAACTAATTAATTAATAATAATAAAAGTATGAAATAATGATTATAAATTTACTTTATAATGAAGTTTGAATAAATCTGTAATATTTTGCTTCCTGTATATATAAATAATTAACAGACATTATATATAAGTAATTGGTTAAATAATATGCTAAGAATTCTAAAATGTATTTTTCTAAATTAAAGACTAATTTAATATATAAGTAAATAGTCTTTAAATAATAATTCCTAGAATGGAAAATTAATCATTGAAAAATAATAAAATAGACATCTTATCTTTTTAAAAATTTTAAATATTAGTATTTCTATAAATTTCTATTAATATATATTAATATTTAAAACAAATAATTATTACCATTTATGAAAGCAATTTAAAAAATTCCCTAAAATATAAAGTCATAAAAATAAAGAACAGATATATAAAATATGACAAATAACTAATATTCACTATACATTTCCTTATGAAACTTGTATTTCGTAAATAAAACAATTTTCAAAACAAAAGAAATATATAGAATTCTGAAGGATTCATTTTAATCATTATAATATTTATCAATAGAGCTTCAATCGAATGAAATTGAAATTTTAATTTTTTCGGAAATAAACTTTTTAAACATTCTATACTCACGCTTAATATATTCATCATTCGAATTTCTTGGACACGGTGTTTTAGACATTATATTATATAATAAATAAGTACTAGCAGAACATTTTATGAATTAAAAATGATGACCATAATGAATAATATTTAAATAATGTTAATAAATATATTATAATGTTATTAATTATTTTTTGTAAATAGGTATTTCAATATTTTATTATTATTATTATATATATATATATATATATATATCGTAAGTAGTGAAAAAAATATCTGTATTACAATAATAATTATTAAATTCACCGTACTATTATGCAAATTCAAGTAGATCCAAGGTCACTGTATTTCCCTGTAATTATTACGAACTACTAAATTCCAAAACTCCAAAAATTTTCATTCTTTTAATGTAAAATTTTAATAATGAAGAAAGAATAAAGATAATTAAACGATAAGATAAAAAAAATAAACATCAAGGGTAAATTTCAAAATGAATACAAAATATTAGAATGCTTTTGTATTTTAATGACATTTCATTCGAATAAATTTAAATTACCGTTAGCAGCATGTAGTTGTTTGTTGCCGACCGAAAAGAGGGGGTAAGGGAGAAGATAAATCACACAATTATCATTGTGGAAAGATGCCCGAAGTTTAGATAACTTGCAACAAATGTAAAATCTCAGAATATAAAATTAAACGCAACCATATTTAAATATATTATATTTGTGCATAGCGCAAATATCTATTTTCGTGAATTGTATTATTGAATTAAAGAAATTTATTAATTCTTTTCATATTTAAGACTGTTAGATTTAATTAATTATAATTGAAAATAATTATTATACTATAGATAAGAGTGTCATTTATAAATTAAAATTAGATAATATCTAAATTGATCAAAATTAAAAAAATTTTTTTAATACCTTATTCATATAATTTTTTAATTGTATTCAATTACACTAAATTATTTTGTAAGGTCAGTAATTCGTTTTTTCAGTTATTAATATTTTTATTACTTTAATCATATAATTATCAATTAAATAATAGTAGTTTAATCATATAATGTTAATTATATATTATTAGTTTATATATTATAATATATTAGTTTAATATTTTATAATAATTATAAAATATTAGTTTAATATTATAAATCAATTGTTAGTTTATTATGACATATATATTCTGTTAAATTATTATAAATATATTATTATATATAAGACTATTTAATGTAAATCTTATGGTTGTTATTTTCTTATTTAATGTTTATTACTTTATAGGCGTTATAAACGCCAAGATTGTATTAATTATATTAAAATTATATTCAAACTAATATTTATTTTCTATACATCTAATATATGTTATTGAATAGTTTCTGCGATATACACATTTTACAGGAAAAATATTAAAATGAGGATATATTGTATTTATTATAATAAAAATCTTACGTTAAATAATGCAATTATTTACTCAATAATTACTATATTTAAAATATTAATATTATGGAAACAAAATATTAATACTATAATATTAACTATATTTAAACACAATTTGCAAAATTAAATAGAAAATTTTTTCCGGTAAAATAATTAAAAATTTTATTTGAAAATCGTCATTAATGTTGTCTTATATATTCATAATTTAACTACTTTTCAATAATTTATTAATTTCAAATAATCTCAATTAAACCATAAATTTTACATATACTCATAAATTATCTTCTTTCTAATTTTTATATAAAAAAAGATTATTACCTTAGTGATGTAATTAACCTTTTGTTATTAATTATTTTTAAAAAATTCCCTATTTAATAATATATAATATATATATATATATTTAATTAAATTAAATTATTGAAATACACAAAACTAATAATTTATTTTTTCCAATTTAAAACTTCATAGAAAAGTGAATCTGTAAACTATAACTAGAATAGCAAAATTTTCATCATGACAAACTCTCTATGTGTTTTTGATTTAAAGAATTTCAATGTAGAAAGATGCATTTTAGAATTGGTAAATTTGCGTTAAAATATAATTATGTATTTTAAATAAATTATTATATAATTATATCAAACATTTTTTAAAGATTTATGTTGCATTAAAAAAAAAAGCATCATCAATTGCTATTCGTTTTAATCCTAAAAAACATAAAATACAAGTAGTAGACAATGGAATTGGTTTTACCAAAAATGAACTGTCATATTTTTTTAATAAAAAAACAATAAATAATAGAAATAAGAAAACAATTTTTGATAAAATAAAATTGAATTCGAATGCAGTAATTATAACTTCTAGAAGTATTTACTCTACTCATACTTATGTTACGGTATATGTATAGAACAACCAAATATTTTGGTTTTAATAATAAAATAACACTATTATAAATATCTAATATTCTATTTAAGGTTGCAAGTGGCTGCAAAATTACTAGAGTATTTCAAGGTTATGATAGACCTTCGAAAGGTACTACCGTGACGATTTGTGAATTTAATGCTTCTAAATGGGATAGACAAATTGATAAAAATTGCTCTATATCATTTATTATTGCTGCTATAGCATTTATACAATTACAAGTAACGATTTAATATAATATTAATTCAATTGCAAACTTCGAATTGCTAGATTAAAAAAATTATTCTAGGTTTCATTTTCATTGCGCAATGACGAGCAAAACAAAATGATATTAAATATAACTAAATTTCATAATTCCTGGGAAGTTTTAAAATATTTGAAACACAATTTATCTCATGAAATACCTTCTCTTTCAACAAATCAAGTGTTACGAGGAAATAAAAAAACCTATGACATAATAAAAAATAAATCTAATAAATCGAAAAATAATTCCAATTTTTCAAATATGTCCGTACATTCTAATCAATTATTAAATAATAGAACTAATGGAATCATTAAGAATAGTATTCTGTATTCAATATCAAAATGGAAAAATTGGTCATGTAAAATTAAAAGTTTAAATGAAAATGAAAATAATACGAATATTAATCAGAATTGTTTTTCTAATGTAAATCAGATTAATATTTCTGATCAAAATTTTCTTAATTTAAGTCAGCTATCAATTTGGTCTGATTGGTCTTATCATCCTACAAATTCAAATAATAAATACAATAATAAAAAAGATATTCGCGATCCCCATTATAAATTTCTTCCAATTTCAATTTATAAAACACTTCCGTTTAAGGATCGCAAAATATTAAATGAACAAAATTACCTTCAATCAAGTCAATGCTCATCATTTAATTTTAATAATACTGAATCAAACTATATAATTAATGAAACAACCAAATCTTTTCAAAACGTTAATGTTAGAGTTTGTAATTTAAAACGTAAATTTGATGAGTATAAAATATCAAGGAACACAATTCATTCAATACAAGTATAACATATATAATTTAATATATTTTTATGCATTAAAATTCATATGATAAAGATATTATATAAAATGAAAATAATGAAATATTACATGTTTTTAAAGGTATTGAAACAAATTAATAAGGAATTTATAGCAGCTATAACAAATGAAAAAGATAAAAAGGTATTAATAATCATAGATCAACATGCAGTTCATGAAAGAATACGTTATGAGGGGCTTATAGAATGTACATATAAATAATATTGATAAAAATATGTTTTTATAATTTTATTTTCATATATTTAATCTTTTTATCAGCGTACAGAAAAAAAAATAGCTACGATTATTTATCTGTGAAATTAAATAAAGAATTACACATATCAGATATCAGTGAAAAGTTACTCGAACTTATTGTTTTACATAAAGAAGTATTTAATAGAGTCGGTATAAATGTCAAATCTGTCATTGATTCAACTACATGTTTAATAGATGCTGTACCTGAATGCTTCATAAAAAAAGTAAAAAGTTATAATAAAGAAAATAATTTCTACAGATTAATGAAAAATGTGAGACAATTGTTATTGGAAATAGCTAATGGACTAGCAATATCAACAAATATTTTACCACCTATTCTTCCAATTACTATACATAATGTTATTGCTAGCGAAGCTTGCCATGGTAAGTAAAGTTAAAACAAGAATATCATAAAGATGAATAAATTTTTAACGATAGTTCATTTTTGTCATCTTTAAGTAACATTTTCTCTTCAATTTAAATAAATTCAAATAATAAAAAAAATTAATATTTTTAGAAGCTATAAAATTTGGCGATCCTCTGAATGTGGATGAATGCTTATTACTTATTCAGGCATTACAAGATACCAAAGCACCTATTCGATGCGCACATGGACGACCGTCAATCATACCATTAATTGATTTAGCAGATATAGAAAAACGAAAATCTTCTGAAAATGTAGATATAATTTTTTATTTATTTAAATCTATACATATATTATTAAATAATTAATAGAAATAGGAATATATTTATAATTTTATCATATTGAAAATTAAATACAATTGCGCTTTAAATATACTTAATTTTATAGAGTTTGTATAAAAATGATTACATTAATTTACCGTTTTATAAGTGACTAAAAAAGTAGATACTTGTTAAGGAAAAACTTTTTTAGTTTATTTAATAAAAAATTATCAATTACTTTTAATAAAATAATTTGATTCATTCGATTTTAAATTGGGGTATCAACTTACTTTAATTAAATTTAATATAGTATATAATAATAATCCTTTCTATCACATGCATACTTAATTGTATATTTAATGAAAACTCGTGTAAACATTAAATAAATTCACAAGCACGCACCTACGTATACAAACAATATTTATAGATAAAATAAAAATTTATAAATTATTTGAACACTTTTTCGTTTTCATCCGTACAATAAGGGATCTATTATTCATTGATAATCAATGGACAAGTTCTTATTTTTATAGAGTATTATATGATTTCATTACGTTGATGGATATAATTTTAAAATTTCAAAGTCGTTTATATATCGGAGAATGCCGAAATCAAAATATCTTTTCCAAAATAATTCACTCGATTGGCAACTATCAATGCATGAGCACCTCCTAAAGCAATTGGACACGCGTTGTTCGGACGTGTATAAAAGCAAATTGTGTATAGAGCCATTTCTAATTCTGGCGATGTTCCAATAAAAATCGTTGTAATGGGCT